GTTCAAGTATTTCCAGGGGATGGATGTGGGGGAGCCTTAAGGCAGGCTCCATGGCCCATCTGAAAAGGGAGTCTGAAGTTTTCTGTTCAGTGGGGGGAAGGACATATTTTTCAGGATAGAAACCATATTTTAGGGTCTTCGTGCTTTATGCAATCCGGGCAATCGACAGCCAGGGTTGCAATGGTTATTCAGCACTCGATATGGGCTCTAATCGCACTCGTTATTTCTATTCAGCGACTCGCTGACTCTTGCCCCACAAGGGAACCGGCGAGAATAGGAGGAAAGAGTGCCATTGGGCGCCAAAGAAGGGATGGCAATCCACGAGATGGAATTATTCCAGCCCGTGATAGATAGATTATTCTATAGGCTCATTGGTTCAATGCAGGAGAATGTCTTTTGGAGACTAATGGCTGTTCCTTGCAGACCAGACCCCTTGCTTACCCTTTCCATTCCCTGAACCCTTTAAGGGTTCTTTGGAATCTAGAATCAGAGGCTTTAGGCCAGGGTTTATAGACTCATTGCTCATTCTTCTGCTTGTGCATCCACAGGATAGCCTGCCGCCGAGCAGCAACAGCTGGAATACCCGCGAGGAGCTGACGCTGCACATACCAGTGCACGACACGGAGAAGGCCGGACTGGGGGTGAGCGTCAAGGGGAAGACCTGCTCGAACCTGAATGCCTCCAGCTCGAGTGGCAGTGGCAGTGGCAGTGGCGGTGGCAGCGGCCAGATGAAGCACGACGGCGATCTGGGGATATTCGTGAAGAGCGTTATCCATGGCGGAGCCGCCTCCCGGGACGGACGACTGCGGATGAACGACCAGCTGCTGAGCGTGAACGGGGTGTCGCTGCGCGGCCAGAACAATGCCGAGGCCATGGAGACACTGCGTCGGGCGATGGTCAATACGCCGGGCAAGCATCCCGGCACCATAACGCTCCTTGTGGGCCGCAAGATCCAGCGCTCGGCCAGCTCCAGCGACATCCTGGACCAGGGCCTGAGCCAGACTCAGAGTCACAATCACAGCCATAGCAACGGCAGCGGCAGCGGCAGCAGCAACAGCAACAGCGGCCACAACAACAGCAGCTCCAATGCGAGCGACAATTCGGGGGCCACCGTCATTTACTTGAGTCCCGAGAAGCGGGAACAGCGCGGCAGCGGCAACGACCGAGGAGCCGGCGGCAGCAGCGAGATGAACAGGTGAGTGGAGTGGAGCGAGGGAGGAGACTAAAGCGATGGAACTAAACCTCCCCTTTTTGTAGGTGGAGCAACCCCGTTTTGGACCGTCTAACCGGTGGCATTTGCTCCACAAACACACAGGCCCAGCAGCAGCTCTCGCAGCAACATCCGCAGCAGCAGCAGCAGGTCTCGCAGCAACAGCCGCAGCAGCCACGTCGCCTGCCCCCAACCCCGATCTGCAGCAGTGCGGCACTCCGCAACGAGAGCTACTACATGGCCACCAACGACAACTGGTCGCCGGCGCAGCTCCATCTGCTGACGGGCCATGGCAATACGGCGCTGCTGATCGAGGACGACGCCGAGCCAATGTCCCCGTAAGGCCAGCCCTTAGGGTCCTTGAGGGAACTCCTTTTTTACATATTTTCGTGCATTGCAGGGTCCTGCCGGCGCGTCCCCACGATGGGCAGCACTGCAACCCGAGCAGCGCCAACCCATCGTCGCAGACGAAGGCAGTGGCAGCGGGAGGGCCAGCGGGAGGGCCAGCGGGAGTGGCCGTCACTGTGCCGGGCACACCGTCGAGCAGCAGCACCTTCGATGCCACCTACTCGTCGCAGCTCAGCCTGGAGACGAACTCGGGCGTGGAGCACTTCTCGCGCGATGCCCTGGGCCGGCGCAGCATCTCGGAGAAGCACCATGCGGCGCTGGATGCCCGCGAGACGGGCACCTACCAGCGCAACAAGAAGCTGCGCGAGGAGCGCGAGCGCGAGCGCCGCATCCAGCTGACCAAATCGGCCGTCTTTGGGGGCTCCGTCGAGTCGCTGACGACCCGGATCGCCAACGCCAATGCCCAGCTGGCGGGCTACAGGCACGCCAAGACCGCGTCCAGCATCGAGCAGCGCGAGTCGATGCAGCAGCAGCTGGCGGCCGCCGAGGCCGAGGCCCGCGACCAGCTGGGGGACCTGGGCCCCTCGCTGGGCATGAAGAAGTCCTCGTCGCTAGAGTCGCTCCAGACCATGGTACAGGAGCTGCAGATGTCCGACGAGCCGCGTGGCCATCAGGCACTGCGGGCCCCGCGCGGCCGCGGCAGGGAGGACAGCCTCAGGGCGGCGGTTGTCAGCGAACCGGATGCGAATAGTGAGTGCCTATCGGAGGACTATCACGATTATCGTGTGGTGGCATCTTAACGTGATTTGTTTTGCAATTTCAGAACCCCGCAAGACGTGGCTGCTGGAGGATGGGGACCACGAGGGCGGCTTTGCCTCGCAGCGGAACGGACCCTTCCAGAGCTCCCTGAACGACGGCAAGCACGGCAGCAAGTCGTCGCGGGCCAAGAAGCCGAGCATTCTGCGGGGCATCGGACACATGTTCCGCTTCGGCAAGAACCGCAAGGACGGGGTGGTGCCAGTGGACACCTACAGTGCGGTGGCCATCTCTCCGCCCTCATCGGTGGTGTCATCATCGCCACAGCTGCAGCAGCAGCAACAGCAACAGCAGCAGCAGTTGCAACAGCAACAGATACCCGCCGCTGCGCTGGCAGCTTTGGAGAGGAATGGAAAGCCGCCAGCATACCAGCCACCGCCGCCACTGCCAGCACCGAATGGTGTGGGTGCAGGCGGGGCCGGCGGTGTAACGGCAGCGAATGGCGGCATCCATCAGAACGATATATTCAATCATCGGTATCAGCACTATGCCAACTATGAGGATCTGCATCAGCATCAGCAGCAGCAGCAGCAACAGCAGCAACAGCAACTGATTAGGTGAGATGCGAGGCCCAGCACTCCGTCAATGAAGGAGGGGCACCCTGTTATATGTTACTCAACCCCACCCCACCCCAGCCCCTACGATACGCTCCCCTTGAAAGCATGACTAACTTTATTAACCAAAAATCGTTTCATTTGTGTCTCTCGTCTTGTATCTGTCTCTTTCTTTGGCTCTGTCTCTGTCTATGCCGTGGTATATGTATCGCACTCACACACCCACACACACCCAACACATAATTTAACATTTACCAACACTGGTTGTTGTGGCCGCAGCACATCAGTCGAGACGCTATCGGAGTCGACGCTCGAATGCATGCGTCAGCAGGTGATACGACAGCGCATCAAGGTGGAGGCGGAAAGGTAACACACACACACACACACACATACAGTAGGGATCATGATCATGAAACGCACTGTACACCCCCATACTAACTAAATGGTTCTGGGCTTTAGATTGTACTTTTATTATTCGATCCATTCTGATCGCTTTGTTTCTGCTCTCCGCCGCAGTCGCCGCCATCAGCATTACCATTCGCAGCGCAGCGCCCGGTCGCAGGACATCAGCATGCACTCGACCAGCTCCTCGTCGCACCACCAGCATCCGCAGGCCCAGACGCAGGGCCACACGAACGGCGGCATCCGTCCCATGAGCAGCTACTACGAGTACGAGACCGTGCAACAGCAGCGCATGGGCAGCATCAAGCACAGCCACCACAGCAGCCACAATGGGGCGGCAGCAGGCACTACGGGGGCCTCGGGCTCCTCGGCGTCGCCCATCAATGTGCCCCACTGGAAGGCGGCCGCCCTCAACGGCTACTCCCCGGCCAGCCTGAACAGCAGCTCCCGCAGCCGCGGACCTTTTGTCACCCAGGTGACCATTCGAGAGCAGAGCGGCATGCCGTCCCAGCTGCAGCAGCTCCAGCAGCAGCCTACCTACCAGACCGTGCAGAAGATGGGGCCGCAGTCACAGTACGGCAGCACTGCTGGCTCCCAGCCGCACGCCTCGAAGGTGTGACTATAGGTGCTGGCGCATGCGCGCGCCACACGGGATGTGCTCGTGGAGGATAATCAGCAGCAACAGCAGCAGCTGGGGCTTAGCGAGGTCAGCGAGGTAGAGATCTTCTACTACGCCACCGAATGCTGAGACACTTCCTTCCTGGACACCCACCGGGCCTCTCTCCTCCGCGTGGGAGGGACGCTGTGTGTGACGCTGGGCAGCCGGCAAAAACCAGAGATTTATTTTTACCCAATGGATTGGATGGCACTGGAGATGGATGGAGTTTTTCGAAAAAATGTCCACATTTTGTACACAAGACACACCCCCATACACACGTACACGCATACAAACATACAACTTGTATTTAGATTAAATTTAAGTCCATTTATTCCCAATGCATACGTACATACATGTACTCGATATGAAATGAAAAGTATTCCCCTATTTAAAGAAGAACCTTATGTTGTATTCACTCGTTTAATATCTAAGTCAAACGAACGCCTTTGTACATAATTAGGTTTATGCAGAAGCCAACAAAAAACCCACAAAACATGCGAGTTGCACTCTCGACTCCCACGACGAAGTACCATTTCTCCATTTATTCTCTTTCGTTTTTGTTGTATATAGAACTTTTGTTTGTTTTGTTAGCTTTAAAGCGGACGCCATTTTGTGTGCAAAAGGTTAGGATTTGCAACAGCGAAAAAGTAAAACTTAAAGCACCCACACACACACACACGAACACACACGAACACACATATAGTACTATATTGTATACCATAAATCATTTTTTTATTGTTTTTTTTTTGTCTATATAAGATCGAAATTGTGCAGCCGACCTTTCGGGTCTTCCCGGGGTCTCTAAAAGACAGGCAGCTTCATTTAGTTATACGTAATAATTATATGCAATTATGGTACATAGAACGTAAGCGTAAGCGTATAGTGTAGCGAGTAGTACATACATACATACATATACCCTAGAAGTTTATTCTGTGTACTTTGTAAGTAATTTGTAAATTACGGCACCGAATTGCGAATTAAAAGCTAACGATTTCCATAAACAATCATCACACATACATATATCGTATATTCACCGGTGGATGATCCTAGTCTTGACGATGGGTGGCGCCTGTGCCGTAGCCCGTTGCATTGGAAGCTTGCTGCTTTTGATGGGTCCCTCCTCCTCATCGTCGGTCTGCTCTGCAGCAGCTTGGACCACCGGGGGGGCTACGGGGGTGCGCTTCTTCTTGGCTGAATGGATTCTGCGCTTCTTTAGGGAATTCCCATGAGGCGATACCGTGGGCGGGGGTGCTGGCGCATCCTTCTTCCTCACGACGGGCTTCAGCACAGTGAAATTGGTGAGTAGACTGGGATCGGGCGACTTGTCCCAGTGATCGCTGAACGGAATGGAATCGGAGGAATATTAGTTGGGGGTAAATGGATTCAGGAACCATTGCTCACTCGGGAATGCCACCGGGAGGCACAATCACGTCTAGGACATTGTCTATTAGGCGAGACTTGAGCATGCGATCGTTTGGAGTGGTCGCGTGCATCGATGGCGAGGTGTTGATCTCGATCAGCCAGGGCTTCAGGTTTTTGTCTATGATGATGTCATACCCATAGACCTCGAAGCAGTGCCGATCGTTGGACATCACTGGGGCCACTGCGTCCAGGGAATGGCGTATCGTCTCGGAGATGCGCTGCCAGAGAATTTGTGAGACGCCTCCGCCTCGCAGGCTATCCAGGTAGAGCCAAAGATTCTGGACAGGCCACTTGCCGCCATGAATCGAATTGTACTCTTGCTGAGGGTGAGAGAAAGAAACTCAATTGGTGACCCCGAACTCCCGAAATCCGACTTACGTTCGTCTTCTGAATGCTAACATTGGTCAGATGCATGAAAACGTTGTTGATGTCCGTGTGGTCATACTTTTCCGTGCAAAAGCGACAGAACCCCTCGTTGTAGAGGTAGGCTTTTAGGGGATTAAACGTGGTCACCAGCACGAACAGGCGCAGATCGAACTTCTTGCCGCCGATGAGCAGGGGATTGTCTATGTACTTGGAGATGACACTGGTGTTGCGGCTCAGCAATGGGTAGAAGGTGCGCGCCTCGTAGGCGAACTTCTTCAGCTTGGAGAGCTTGTTGATCAGAAAAATTCCGTTGCCCTGCGACTTGCTGCAGGGCTTGACGATCCACGTGCTGGCCGGATTCTTGTGGAATTCTTCCACGAACAGGTTGTAGTCGGTGGGCAGGATAAAGGTCATCGGTACGATATCCAGGTGCATGTAGCGCGTGCCCCCTATGCCCAGTTTCATGGTGTGCGAGAAGGTCTGGGCCAAGGGATCGCCCTTGCGCTCCAGATCCTTGCGATAGCGCTTGATGTTCTTGATCAGCAGATCCTTTCGCGACAGCTCCATCGAGTTGGGGAAGTGGTTAATGATTCTGTGGAGAGAATATCCATGCGGTCAGATCGATGCTGATCGGAGCTGACGGATCGCTTACTGGTCGGATCGCATGCGATAGGGCTGATCGATGCCAAAGATGTAGCGACAGGTTTGGGTGCAGGCCCAGTAGAAGTTCCATTCCCCGTTGACCGACGGCACCTGTTGCCAGCCACGTTTCTCAAAGTTGCAGATCACAGCCGACTTCTCACCGTCCGTGCTATAGAGCACACATTTCTTCGGCTGCGGTTCCGCCAATCGCCTGCTGACACGTGGCGAGGGCCTAACCAAGTGGGGCTCCCCGATCTGATCATCGCACTTGCTCCTGAGGTTCTTCAGCGGGCTGCCATGCCTCTTCATAGCAATGGGAAGACACTTTAAAAATACTACGAATTTTGAAACAGTCGATTCCAATTTTGATTTGAGTTGCTTTTGTGACTTTTTACTTCTGGCCTGCCTGATCTGATCTCTATTCTATAACGTCATCTGGTCATAGCTACCCAACAGAATGAACGATCATTATGATCCTCTGCTTCCTTAAAGACAGATCCGCTGTTGCATGCTGTGGACCATTGGTTCTCACGTCTCACGACAATCGCAGGCCCTTTTCCCCTAGAAACTAGCTATGTATTTTACCAATAAGGCAGGTGCTCGATCCTATCCTATTGCACAATCGCTGATCGCTGATCGCCGATCGTCGACTTCCTCTTGCGGTCATGTGTCGAAAACGAAAGTGTTAATTCCCTGGAAGATGCAATATTTACACACAATATTCTCATTCTGCGGGTGATCGCATTTCGGGGTTTTTTAAACCGATCTTCGGTGGGTTCTAGGTAGATAGACCCAACGAAACCTCCAGCGAACAACCGCATCTGGGCAAATTGACTTTGACATAAATATTTGTGACATAGTCGCCTGCCCCGGCCTCTGCCTCGGCCTGGGCTGACTTGGCCCTCATTGAGTAATTTCACACGTTGGTTCGGAGCCCAAGTCCGGACAGAACAATCGCTGACCATTGTCGAGTGCCGTGGGCCAGCGGACTATAAATGCCCACTGCCGGTCACCAGAGTTCAACAGTCAGCGAGTTGGAGGCGTCGTAGTTAAAGCAATTTGTGGATAGCCGCTCAGAAATCAGAGATCGCATCAGCATCGTCAGCATGAAGTTCTACGGAAGCAGCAGCAGCATCGTGCTCATCTGGGCCTTGATGGGCACACTCCTGGCCCCCGGAGAGGCAACCTTTGGCAAGCTGAATCTGCTGCTGAGCGGCGCCAGTGGTGGTGTCGGTTCTGGCTACGGATCCGGCTATGGCTACGGCTCGGGATACGGCTCTGGATATGGCTCTGGCTATGGATATGGCTCGGGCTATGGCTCTGGATATGGTTCCGGCTATGGCTATGGTGGCGAGAACGTGGTCAAGGTGATCAAGGTGTCGGTCGTGCCAGGCGGTGGCTACTCAGGAGGCTACGGATCCGGCTACGGCGGCGGCTACGGCGGTGGCTACGGATCCGGCTACGGCGGCGGCTATAGCAGCGGGTTTGTTGGCGCAGCTCCGGCCATCTCCACATCGGCTGTGGTTACCCCTGTGGTCACCTCAGTGTCCACACCCGTGGCCAGCCCCATCCTGACTGGCGGAGCTGGCTATGTGGGCGGCTTTGGTGGTGGACTGGGCGGCTTCAGTGGCGGTCTGGGCGGCTTCAGTGGCGGTCTGGGTGGCTACGGCGGTGGTCTGGGGGGTGGCTTGGGCGGCAGTTCCCTGCCCGCCTCTTATGGCTTTGGCGGAGGCTATGGGGCTAGCGGTGGCTTCGGCTTGGGCTTTGGCGCCCCCCCACCACCCCTCGGCCTGGCATCGGGCCTGTGCTAGACGGATAACGAACGAATTACAGTTAATTTTCCCTTTTTTTTGTCGATATTTCTAATAAAAAGTGTTTAATTAAAATCTAATAAATAAAATGTTACAATAGATTGAAATCATTTGGTTTTATTCGGAGTTTATTCCAGAATCTACAAAAAATACTAGAAATACTAGAATACTAGAATTGAGCGCCCAAAAGCGTGCTACATCGTGGCTCGGTGGAGGTTTTCGACGATCTCTCGTCGGCTGTTGGGCAATGTGTAATGTTTGACTGTTGCAATTCAAGGCTTGACAATTACAAAATACAATTTCGCACCTAATTGCAGACATCACGCCTCTAGAATGGTGACCTTCGGGTGGGCTTTCTGAATGAAACCGAGAGTTGAGTGCTTGGGCCGACAGACCGCCCACTGTTTACGCATTCAGTTAGCCGACACCGACTCCAACTCCTCTCTCCGGCGGAGCACTAAACCGAACAATACGGTTAATGGTAATCAAGTGCCAAAAGCCAAAAGCAAAGCCAAAGTCAAAGTCACAAAAGCCAAGCCCAAAAACGTTTGGCCAAGAATGCTGTACGCGCTTTGGGTGCAAATTGATTTCGCTGGACCAGCTCCAGCTCCAGCTCCAGGCCCCATCGATGCCCAACACGGGCACAGCCGCAGACTGAAATGCGAAACAAAAAAAAAAACAAACAAACAAAAGCCAGGAGGGAAAACCGACTTTGGGCCGACGCTTTTAATACCCTAGCAGATCGATCGTCGGTTGGAGTTTAGAATTTATTTGGTGGTGGCCCTTCACGTTGGTCCTCTACAAAAAATAGATGGTATTATGCGAAAAGCGGACTATGTAAAACTTCTACAAGCCCATCTTCTGAATTTTCTGGGGAAATGTGTTTATCCCGAATATAAATAACTTTTCAACAAGACAGGGATCTCTCAAAGAGCCGACCTTAAGCCGATTGAAAACATATGGTCAATCGTGAAACGACGGCTTAGGCAGGACGAATCTGGGGACCTTTAGATGCGGAATGGAATCGTATTCCAAAAGATATTTTTGGTAATTTGATAGAGAGCATTCCAAAAAATTTAAAAGAAAGTAATATCTAATAAGGGTCTATGCACAAACTGTTCTTTAATTTGTATAAAAAGTGCACAAGTGAGTTGTTTTGGTTTTCTATTTTTCATTCTTTGAAAAGTTCCTATTCCTTCTTGTAATTATAGTTTATTTGCTAAAAATACAACTATTTATATGGGGAAAAAGTTTTGTTTCTTTGGCTTTATTCGTTTGGTTGTTATGGGCGGCGAAAGTCCGTGAGAGTCCCCACTCTATAAGATTAAAATAATATTGGGACTTATGTAAATCTTAAATAAATACATGCAGAGCTCTCTTTGAGCACTCGAAGATGCTTTTTTAAACCAAAATACCCCTTTGCTAGGGTATACACGCATACATACCATACACGAGCATTGAGAAAACTTCACAAAATTTGTAAATGGGAATGTGTAAATTGGCTATGATTTAATATTTGCCATGTTTAGTCCATGAGCAATGGAGCAGAAGCAGAGAACGAGCTGGTCAGGGTACAGTACACCTCAGAACAGGGCTTTTGGTATGATACTCTAAAGGTCTTGCTTTAGGGGGACTCCATGAATCCAGGCGTGACTAAACTTCTCGCGAACTACTCACAGCACAATTCTCGATATCTCCCCCCAAAATGTTCCACGCATGTTCCCCTTAAAGGGAATTTTATTATGCCTCCCTCCACAGAACCCCAGAACATAGGCTGTGTAGTAAAACCTGTTGCCAAATTATGGAAATACACTAGCACAACATTTCGCCAAGTCAGGAAAAGCTTTCGTGTTCTTTTTTTTTGACCTAATTAGCATAACAGTCTAGATCAATATAAATACAAAGAAGCAGCCAGCATAGCATGACTGACATTTACATATAGAAGATGCTTGTAATATTTGGTTTTAAATGGAAACAAATACACACTCGAGACGTGGCCAGCGTGGACAAGTTTCAGCCGAGACAGCACTCCGAGTAGATGAAGCTGGGCTCGGACCAGATCGGATCGGATCTGTTCGGCTAGGGGTTGGGCGCTGGTTGGATATTGGCGAGGCGTCGGCCAGGTTGTCGTTGGATCCCCTCCCCCGCCCCTTTGACTACGTGTAGCCATGCACAAGATTTCAGTGACTGAACGAGTGACAAAGACAACACAATGGCCACGCACATGGTCCCGTGTGCACTGGGAGAAACCCAAGATGACGGGCACAGAGCTATCATAAATTTTTGAGAGAGGGTTGGATTTGATGCTTGATTGATGTTAGAACAAGACCTTTTATGGATTTTTTGCGTATCATGTGTAGTGCACATTTCTCTTTTGTATATGAAGAAAAAAGATTTGGGTCGTCGTCGTAGTTGTTCCGATTTGTAACTCATTTTGGCGCGATCGGCCGAAGCGGGGCGAGTGACCGAGTGAATGAACGAGCGAATTAGCGAGTGAATGAGCGATTGAATGAACGAGTGAAAGAGCGAGAATGAGCGATTGAATGAACGAGTGAAAGAGCGAGAATGAGCGAGAGTTAGCGAGAATAAGCGAATATATGAGCGAGTGATTGAACAGGTGAATGAGCGAGTGAATGAGCGATGGAATGAACGAGTGAATGAGCGATTGAATGAACGAGTGAAAGAGCGAGAATGAGCGAGAATTAGCGAGAATAAGCGAATGAATGAGCGAGTGAATGAACGAGTGAATGAGCGAGTGAGCGGACGAACAAAGCCAGTGAGCAGGGGTTGGCGCACGAGCAAATGTTCGCAGGTAGCTTGCCGCATAGTATTTCAATATATAAATAAATAATAATTTAAATATAAATAAACAGAATAATTAGTAAAATTAGGACAGCAGTCGCACCAAAATGCCACTCTATAAAAAAATAAATCCATGTGTTAAATAATACATATATACATACATAATATTTCATATTTCGGCATATATGTAAATATAAATATATTCCTCAAATGACAGGTTTATTAATCGGTAACCACTGGAACTCTCACATTTATTTTCTTGATTTTTGCTTTTTTGGCCTGTAATGGGTATCTTTTATTTAAAAAACCCTCTGCGCTCAGTGTATTTTTTTGTTTGGGGAATTACCTGCGCTTCTTGCGAATCCATACCGGCACCCAAAAGTTAGCTGCCTTTTTTTTTGTCCACGTTGAGATTGTTTGCCTAGAGATGCGAGAAAATATCTCACTTGATGGTTAAGTAGTTGAGGTGACAGACAGGCAGATAGATGGGCCGTGGGACGGGTAGTACAGCCAGACAGTTGCTCCGATGGATGGCTATGCCGATGCCGATGCCGGTGCTGGTGCCGGTGGCTATGGCTATGGCGGATATGTGAGATGAGATGTGCTGCCCCGCCCATGTTTTTTTTTTGGGCTCTGCTTGGATGGGCTTATAAGTAACTATTTATGAATTAGGCAAACAGCTTGGGGAAGCTCCGAACTGTCGCTCGTTGGATCAAGCGCAGCTCAGCCCTGCTTGTGGCATAGATTAGAACTATACAAACACTCGCACATCCACGTCCACATCCACAGATACAGATACAGAGACAGATACAAACACAAGCAGATACAGATACAGATACAGGTGAAGATACAGGTACCCATTGATAGCCGAGGGAAGTGTGTTAGGGAACGAGATGAAAGATCGAACGCTGTCGCTGCCTATAAATTAGTGCGTCTCCACGATTTGGGACATCAGTTGAGTTTTGCTTAAGGAACCAGTAGCACCGAACCGAACCGAACCCATCACCCAACCCAATCCAATCCCAATCCGCACCATGAAGCTGTTCGTTAGCATAGCACTCGCCCTTCTGGCCATTGCCGCTCCCGCCCAGGGCCTGCTGGGTGCCAAGCTGGCTCTTCTCAAGGCCATTGGCGGCGGCCTCGGAGGCGGCATCGGTGGCGGCAGCTCTGGCGGCGGCGGAGGATACGGCAGCGGCGGAGGCTACGGCAGCGGCGGATATTCCGGCGGCGGCTACAACCAGGGCTACTACAGCCAGCCCAGCCGTCCCGTGTACAACTCTGGATACGGCAGCGGCTCGAGCTCCTCCAGCAGCTATGGCTATGGAGGCGGCTACGGAGGCGGCTACGGAGGCGGCTATGGAGGTGGCTATGGCGGCGGCGAGCAGGTGGTGAAGGTCATCAAGGTGGTGGAGCAGCAGCAGCCCTCGTACTCCTACGGCGGTCCCTCGGGCTACAGCGGCTATGGCGGCTACAACCAGGGCTACTCCAGCGCCAGCGCCAGCTCCAGTGCTAGTGCCTCCAGCTCGGCCCAGGCTGTGCCTGCTGTGACCTACTCCGCTCCAGCTCCCTCGGTGACCTACTCCGCTCCAGCTCCCGCTGTGACCTACTCCGCTCCAGCTCCGGCTGTGACCTACTCCGCTCCAGCTCCCTCGGTGACCTACTCCGCTCCCGCTCCCTCGGTGACTTACTCCGCTCCAGCTCCCGCTGTGACCTATTCGGCTCCTCGGGCTCCTGCTGTGACCTACTCGGCTCCTGCCCCCGCTCCAGTCACCTACTCGGTGCCCGCTCCTCAGCCCGTGGTCCGCGTTCAAGCTGCTCCTGCTCCCATCACCTACTCGGCCCCGGCTCCCGTTGCCATCTCGCGCCCCATCAGCTACGCTCCAGCTCCGATCAGCTATGCCCCAGCTCCGGCTCCCATCCGCTACGCTCCAGCCCCGGCTCCCATCAGCTATGCCCCCGCTCGGCCCCAGATTGTGAAGACCATCAAGCTGATTGTGGACGAGGATCAGTCTGGACGTGTGCCAGCCCCAGTGTACGGAGCCCCAGCACCGTTGGCCAGCAGCTACTCGAGTGCATCCTCTTCCGCGTCAAGCTCCAGCGGCGGCGGCGGCTGGAACGGTGACTACAACGACGGAGGCTACAACGGAGGCTACAATGGAGGCTCCAATGGAGGCTACAACGGAGGCTACAACGGCGGCTACAACGGTGGCTACAACGGCGGCTACAACGGCGGCGGCAGCTGGAAGAGCGGCGGCATCTTGGAGAAGCTCGTCGGCTGCTAAGCGCCTCACTGGCCCCACAAAAGAGTACTCAACCCATCCTTACCTAACCTTACTCAACTGTGTATTTTTTTCCTAGTTCTAAATCGAATAATTATTATTTTTTTGTTGTATGTATAATTCCGAATCGATCGCTGTGTATATAAAATAAATCTGCAAAAACATGTGTGTGTTTTCCCCACCCCGAAGTCCAGTCTATTCTAATTCCCGGTCATTATACCTATATTGGGTCTCGTAACACTCTCAAATTGCTTCGACCTTACGCGACTGGGCTTATGCAATCGCCAGAATTTCAATCGCCTTCGTTTGTCTTCTTCTAATTTTGGTTTGGGGTTTTTTTCGTGGTTTTGTTTCTTTGTGTGTTTTCTCGTGTCGTCCCAGAGTTCATTGTGTTATTGATTCTATCCGAAATTAGCACCCGGTCGCTAACTCTCCACGAATCGGTGGCAATTCCGATTCCGAATCCCATTCCGGCTACGGCTCCGGCTCAGAAGCTGGCAATGAAAGCAAGGCAAGGCCATCCACCGATCGGAGAGACCATCGATTGGCCTCTAGATTGGTGTTTTCATTGACTGCTTATTGGATTTCCCCGTGACATGAGTAACATTCCTTCGATCTTCTTTAAATGCTGATTGATTGGTTGGGTAATTTTAGAAAATTATTTGATTCTTAGATCACTGGTATATCCACGAAATTTATTTGCTTTTTGTACGTTTTGATTATGTCATTTTTGACAAGTGTTCGTGCCGCTTTTAATAATTTCTTCCATGCAATCCATGTGTCTATGCATCCATGTATTCCAGAAATTAAGAGTAATTTCTATTCAGATCAGATCGCCAAAATGAGAGATCATTGAATTGTGAAAGAGTCACTGGGTTTTCTACAGATCTATCGGTTGTGCAGTTCTGGTAACTGAGGCTCAAAAGGGGGCAAACGAATGCAGAAAGATCGCTGCAGAAGTATTCAAGAGATCCTTGAGCTGCAGAGATCTGTTTAAAGATTTGGAAGACAAGCTGGCAAACTGATCTTAATCGTCATGTTGGCGTGCAATTTGTGTGCCAAGTTCAGCAAGAAAACACAGTGTCAACGCCACCGAAAAGATCGAACCCCGATGGGCTTTCAGCCAAGACCAAGAACTTCCGTCCCTAGGTGGCTATAAAAAGTGCTGTCTGCGGCCAATAGACCAAGTCCCAGGCCCACAGCAAAATGCCAGTGATTATATTCAATTTGCCCATTCTGGCGATGGTGGTGGCAGTCGTCGTTACACTGACAGCGGGCCATGCCGTGGAACAGGAGCTGCCTTCGACACTCGACGGCCACGGTGCGTATGAGCAATGCAGCCACTGGTTGCCTTCTGTATTGAAGTATTTTCTCAGGCTATGGACCGGCTATACACATAAGCTCCGGAGTCCTGCAGCTGGCCGCCGATACGGAGGCACAGACTCTTCTGCTTGTGCCCAGCAGTGTGTACTCCCAGCCGTGGCCCCACTTCTACGTGGAGGGTCTGTCCTCGCACCTGCCGCACTCTACGCTGCCCCAGCCCCATCTCCCGGCTCATGAGCCCCGAATCGTGATCAGCGACAATGTGGACTTTTCGCAGCTCAAACATCCACTCGTGAAGGCCCATGGACGCTAGACGCTAGACGCAGGACCCAAAAATCCACTGGTGTTCACATTATGGAGCTTCTCAAGTTACCCAAAAACGACGAATATATATAGGTATTCTTTTAAACTTAGATTTATTTCAAATATCGCTTCACAAAATAGCACAAAAAAAAGAGGAGGAATGGAGTAAAACTTGCTAACGAGGATATCATTGAGCGTTTTGCTAAATTTTGGATTGACTATCACAGCATTAGTAGTGATGATCCAGACTGTGGGGATCCAGACTCAGTTGGTGCTCCAGATCCAGATGCTCATGCTCCAGCTGCTGGTGCTGGTGCTCGTGCTCCTGCTCGTGCTCCACTTGCTGCTCGAGGGCCTGGTGCTGGAGCTGGTGCAGCTCGTGCTCGTCGCGATCCTTGAACTCGTACAGGCTGCTGTAGCTGAAGGCGCCCTTGCCATGGTCGATGCCCGGCACCGGCTTGTGGTCCTCCTCGTAGTGGGAGTGCAGCTCACTGGCCTCCGCATACTCCTCGCCAGCATCGCTGCTGCCGTAGTCCGCCGGGAAGCTCTCCTCGCCGAGGTGATCGCCAAGGGCGCCCAGCTGGTCGTGCTCCGAGCTGGAGAACTCATGGGAGAAGTCCAGCTTGGACAGAGCCTCGCCGCCGGTGAGGCCGCCGGCGTAGTTGCCCAGCAGGCCAGCCGAGGGGACGCCCGAGGCGTAGTCCTCGCCAATGGGCGAGCACTGGGCGCCGGCCAAGAGATGGCCCAGCAAGAGCATCAGCTTCAGGCGGTACGTGAACATATTGTCTTTGATTGAGGATGGATTCCAGAAATCTGAATCTGAGTCTGAATCTCTGATAGTGGGGCTTAACCGACGCGGCGAAATGTTTCGAATCAACTAATTTCTTTTGGCAAACTCTGTTTCATTTTATATGCTTCGGGCCTTGCCTTGCCACACACACACACATGTGTACGTGCTGCATTTTCCTGCATTCTCCAACCACAACAACAACAAAAGCTACAACAACAGGCACTGCAACATCAGCAGCTTCGCTTTGCTTTGCTTTTGTTTGGCTTGGCTTGAGTTGCTCCGTTTGGGCCATGCCATCCAAAATGTTGCAACGGACATCTGCCTGCCTGGTGCCTGGTGCCTGCCTGCTGCCTGCCCCCTGGCGCTCGGCCCGTTCGGCTGGAGCTGATAATTTGCTGCACTTACTCCGCATTACGTGGACGCTGACGCCGATGCCGATGCCGATGCCTATGCCGACGTAGCCATTGAATAGCCTGTTGCTGCAATGGTGCGTATACGTAATATTTTCGCATTTGCCTTTTTCGGCCATTAGTCTGAGGCTGTTCTCGGCTGTAAACTTGTTGCGCAATCCACAATCACCCATCCCCCCTCCCTGCTACCCTTCTATGTCCGCTATGCCTCTCTCCCTCTTATCTATGGCGGATCTCAGGTGCCGATGCGGAAGCTCCCAAATTTTGGCACAAGTCCGTCAATTGGCCAACTAATTGAGTTTATCAACAATAGAATGGCAGGCTCAGCCACAGCCACCAAACGCACACATTTTGACTTGTTGTCTCTGTCTTGGGGTCTCGCCCCAAACAATGCAGTAAGAGATCTTCATTGTGCAAAGCCCCCCCACAAATTGCACTTGCCAGCTGGCACATCATGAGCGAGACCAAACAAATGAAGTTCAAATATGATTGGGGGAGTTGTAGCCGTAGTTTGAACAGCCAGTTATCTATGCCATGCGGAAAGCGGTTTGGAGACACCATCAATAGGTAGCATCTTGCCATCTGCTGAGCAATGTTACCCCTTGATGCCTGTACTTTTCTGATCCTGGGCCTACCGTTCTGTTTGGGCCTCGTGGTCATCCTGGAAACAGGCACGACCATCTAGAAGCCCTCAGGAGACATCGGAAGAGGTTTCTTTTCTGCTTTATAGCCGTACTACCGAGTCAGTCTTTCGCTGAGAGATATGGCAGTTCGGGAAAGCAATTACAATACCAGATACAATTAGCAGTTTAAGCCCGTGCCCTACAGCATTTTTTGTATATCTGCAACGTGCTTAGCTTCTTAGGTATTTCCATTTGTTTTTGCCCTTTTATTTCCTAAGCTAAACAAAAAATAACTTGTTAGATAGCTTTGTTCTTGAGGCTTTTTATCTAAATATAGGGTGATTTCTTTATAAATAATGTACATTTTCTTGGCACCTAACCTGGTGTGCGTTTGTTGAGTCACAGGGGCAACCCAAAAAGATTTGGAGCAGTCGGAATTGATTGATTTCTGACTGCAATTAAAAGCCAAAAGCCTCGAGCCAACAGAGCGAGCGAGTACGACTAGGCCCGATCGCTGACACACTCACCCAATCCACTAACCCAAACAATAACCCATAACGGACACGAACGAATATCTGGCAAGATTGCAATAGGTAAAAAGCGAAGCAAAATAGCCAACGTTACATGCACAATAAGTATAACATCTGGCTGATTGTAGCTGCCGTCAATACTCGTACAATACTCGTGAAATGTGCGAACAATTCGCCGAAATGAAGACAATCAAAATCCACACGACGTTTGGGTGCTCTGACTTGAAATATAGTTCAAATATACATTGCAGGAATACCTTTCCACAATATAGTGGAGGCCTTAACATTACGATTGAGAAAGACACTCAGAAATCATATCAGATCATTTTGGTGAATATTTTTTGGTGTATGGTATGGGTAGATTAGAAAGTAAAGATACCATTTAGTGCTCCAATGATCTAACTTTCAAATGGAATAAATTTGCGAAACTTTTTAGCTGCGATAAATTATCGATAACGTACCGTGCACATGAACAATCATTTAGGGAAGATTAAGCCGTGAATCGTCCGATCAAATGCCCAGCTCCCGGCACTCTCACTCTCACTCACACTCACACTCACACTCCTTTGGCTGTTGGCTCGCGTGACGGCACACGGCGGCAACAAAAGCAACATAAACATCCAGAGCGGCATCGTTGGAGGCAGCTGGAGTGTGGGGCAGTGGGGCTACAACATTACAAATGTAATAGCCGCCGCAGATTGTGGTGCAGTGTGGTTGTACACCCACAATGGTGGGCCGAGTGGGGGAGTGGTAGCCGCAGTCGTAGTCGGTAATTGGTAGTCGGAGCAAAGCAGTTATTAGTTAGCTCGCATTTTGGCAGTAGCTGCATTTCCTAACGCAAAATATTTTACGAAAATTATGCGATTGCCAATGCCCTGCCCCCCTCCGCCAGGCGATCCTCCGTCGAGTGGGAAAGCCGCCTGGTTGGGCAAGCGAATCGGGGCCCGCTTCTGGCAGCGTGGGCACGTGTACCGCTCACGCTCTCCGTATCGCTACTGGCACACGAAACTGGAGCGGCTGGGGCCATTCATCGCGAAAGAATCCAGAGCGTGGATATCTGTGGGGGCCATGAATATTAGATTTATTTCCGTAAATATTTTCTGGATTGGCCCACATTTGCATAAAAGGGTGGCCTCGGGCCGTGGTCTCCTCACACAACCATGACATCTTTTATTCCGGTGTTGCTTATTCTGGCTGTGGGCCTGGTCGTTGCTCCGTCCAGCGGTGATTCCAGGGAAAATCGTTTTCTAAAACCGCCGCCCAAGCTGTACAAACTATTCGCTAAGATCAAGCTGGGCCTACCCTTCTCAGCGCTCGGTTATTTATGCAGCCAGCTCAATGACCTGGGCGCTTTTCCGCCATTGGATCCACCGGAAATGGCGCGCATGAGTTTCCTTTTGCGCACTGACGACTGCCAGAATGTCAGCATTCCGCTTACTGAGGCCGAGAGGCTGTGGGAGGCGCCGGGCTTCCACCAGGATCGGCCCACAGTCATCTACATTACGGGCTGGCTGACGAACATAAAAAGGTCGAACAGCGGGCCTGTTGCCAAGGCCTACAACTGCCGCAACGATACCAATTTCGTGGTAAGTAACTTTCATACCTCTACAACATGTAAACATGCGGACTAGCTACACCTGATTTGCCTTTCTTCGCCAGGTGCTGGATGCAGACAACTTCATTGACACCCTCTACACGTTGGCGGCCCTGAACACGGAGGTCATCGGGGCGTATTTGGCCGAGGCCCTGCTGAAGCTGGACAGATCCTATGTGAGCCGGAAAGTGCACTTGGTGGGACACAGCCTGGGTGCGCAGATTGCGGGATCGGCAGGCCGCAACTTCAAAAAGTTGTCTGGAGGAGCGACTCTGGCGCGGGTAACGGGCCTGGACCCGGCCAACCCCTGTTTCTACAAAGGCAACGATCCGGAGGGCGTACGGAGTGGCGATGCAGAGTTCGTCGACATCATACACACGAATCCCGGCGTTCTGGGCACACCGAAGGTCGTGGGCGACGCTGACTTCTTTGTCCATGGAGATTCTCCATTTCAGACCGGCTGCGGGATTTTGACGGTCAAAAAAGTCCCATGCTCTCACGAACGTGCCGTCGAATACTGGACTGAGACTGTGTATCGCACGAACGGAAATAGCTTCCTTGGCAAGCACTGCGTTCGGGAAACGGATCTCTCGGATGCACGCAATTGTAAGGATACCCGGACAGTCATGGGACACGATGCCAGTGTCCGTGAGCGTGGGATCTTCTATGTGGATGCTAACGACGAAGAGCCGTTCGGCACAAATGCAAACCCGGAGGCCTACACCTCAAGCAATAGCCAGTGCGGAGCCTGTTAGGCCTTTCAGTGGCGTTAAGCCTCAAGTCAAACTGATTATATCCGGCACTCAACGAGTATAGGGGTATGTTAGGCGTTTCCGACCCAATAAAGTATATTTAGCATCAATAGCCGTGTCCATATAACCCTGTCCGTTGGTCCGTCTTAATGAGCACCTAGATCTCAGAGACTATACGACAAAGAGCAACCTGTGATATCTCCTCCGCCTCTACCTAATAAATCAAGGGAATTACCACATACTAGATTGCAGAATTTCGATAAGACCGGATCACTATTATAGCCAGACTGAAAAAACAGAATAGAAGAAAACTTCTAGCATGGTTTTGAGCATTTCTCAGTGTATACGATGTAGGTTTTTTCTCATTGTAGTTGCATTACTTTTAACGACCGTAGAGGGTTTTATTGTCGCAGGTGACAACGAAGGCAGCTGTAAACCAGTGCACAGTGGTTCGTTTTCCGAAAACTCGTTGCAAAGTTCGGAAAGTGTACTTCAATTAAGTATTAGGTATGCGTTTAATCGTTGTTCAAAGCTAAGATTTCTGTTTCTGAAGCGTGTTGAACAGATCTTCGTTTTGGTCTACCTACAAACATATATCACTCATTTTCCTTGCTTTTATACCCGTCTGTCGGTCTGTCCTAGTCCTGTTTGACGCCGAGTACTCATTCTCATACTCTCTTCTCCCTCACACACACTGTTCCTCGTTCAGTGTTCACCCCATGGCGGATGCGAGCGAGTTGTAACGGCTGGCATTGGTGTGGGAAGAGAGAGAGAGAGAGAGAGGCTGCTACGACCTGTAAGATTCTAATTAAATAGGTCATTAAGTGGAAAGAGTATAGACGAAGTGCAAGAATTAACATTAGAACATAACTCATGGTCGTAGGTACTCTTTTCTCTCTTTTTTTACTTACCAAATAATTATTTAAAATATTTGGTCAACATTAGAAGGAGTGTATTAGACGAAGCTATTCGGATTTTTATTGCTTAATGATTTCTAAACAATTTGTTTAATGATTTAATTGCGTCCCTTTTGGGAGTCGTAGCTTAAAAGATGAATGTACAAAATATTGAATTAGAATGTTATGATTTTTGTAGCGTGTTTACAGAAAACCAGCCACTGTGGGCTCTCAGTATCGCTGGCAGCCCTGCAGGAACACGAAACTAATAACTACAGAGAATCCATAAAGTGGATATCTTTAGGAGCCCTCAATATTAGATTAATATTAATTGCGCAAATATTTTCTGGATCGGCCCACATTTGCATAAAAGGGTGGCCAAGGGCTGAGGTCTCCTCACACAACCATGACACCTTTCACTCCGGTGCTGCTTCTTCTGGCCCTGGGCCTGGCTGGTTCCAGTGAAAGTGAGACCCAGAAAGGACTGGACTTGGGAGCGCGGCTGGAACAGCTGCAGGATACGCTGCAGCAAGTGTTCGTTGGGCTTCCGCTGGGCATCACCTTCTCCCAGCTCAACAAACTTTGCAGCACAATCGTTGACCTAGGCCTTGTCCAGACAAAGATTATACCGGAAATGTCGCGCATGAGTTTCCTTCTGCGCACAGACGAGTGCCAGAACGTCAGCATTCCGCTTACTGAGGCCGAGAAGCTGTGGGAGGCGCCGGGCTTCTACCAGGATCGGCCCACAGTCATCTTCATTACGGGCTGGCGGACGAGCATTACCGATTCGAACAGTGGACCAGCTGCTAAGGCCTATAACTGCCGCAACGACACCAATTTTGTGGTAAAGTGACACTGACTAGATCCAAGTTCGTCTTAGATGATTGTACCTTTCGTTCCGGATAGTTTTTCCCCCCCAAGTGATTGTTTAAATGTTAACCACAATGTTTCAAAGTACTCCTCCACAGCACAATATCCGATCGAGTCACAGCTGACTAATTACTGATATCTAAAATGGTCAACTTGCCTTCTTTCTTCACCAGTTGCTGGATGCAGCCGACTTCATTGACACCCTCTACTCGTGGTCGGCCCTGAACACGGAGGCTATCGGGGCGTATGTGGCGGAGGCCCTGCTGAAGCTGGACAGATCCTATGTGATTCAGAAAGTGCACTTGGTGGGACACAGCCTGGGGGCGCAGATTGCGGGATCGGCCGGCCGGAACTTCAAAAAGTTGTCTGGAGGAGCGACTCTGGCGCGGGTAACGGGCCTGGACCCGGCCAATCCTTGTTTCTACGATGGCAACAATCTGGGGGGCGTACGGAGCGGCGATGCAGAGTTCGTCGACATCATACACACGAATCCCGGAGTTCTGGGCACACCGAAGGTCGTGGGTGACGCTGACTTCTATGTCGAGGGACTGTTTGCGTTCAAGAGCGGCTGCGGGGCGTCGGTCAGCTGCTCGCACGACCGTGCCGTCAAGTACTATTCCGAGACGGTGTACCGCACCAACACAAATAACTTCCTTGGCAAGAGCTGCGGTCGGTACGCGGATCTCTGGGACGGACGCAATTGTAACGATACCCGGGCTGTCATGGGCTACGGCGCCAGTGCCCGTGATCAGGGGTTTTTCTATGTGGATGCTAACGACGAAGAGCCGTTCGGCACAAATGCAAACCCCGAGGCCTACACCGCAAGCAATAGCCAGTGCGGAGCCTGCTAGGACTCTAGTGGGGCCACGGATGGAGGGTGGACAGTGTCCTCCCCTAACCAATAAGCCTGCAATTTATATCTTAGATCCATTGAATAAATGTCTTCGATTTGTACTTTTGTCGACTGGTCAAGGACTAGGACTAGGGGAAATTCCCCAGTGAATTCATATCCATACCTGTGCATCATCCAAGCTCTTATGGGGGAGACCTCCCACCTCGTGACTCGCGTTGGGAATCGCAGAGAAGCCAGAATTAATTTTTTGGTGACGTATTTTTGGGCTTTGGTGCTTTGGAGGGGGTACCAGCGTCCAGGGCGTACCCACCGATAATTATCAGGTGCACGTCGACAGCATAACAATGGCTTGGGGATCGGGAACATCGAGTTGAGAACGGAGAACGGAGAATGGAGAATGTGAATCCGATGCGGGCAATGAGCAATGGGTCGGAAACGGGTCCGCATTAATATGGCGCTGTCGTCGTAACCAGCAGCAGGCAGTCGTTTGATGTCGTATACGTGAGACTCTGCCTATATTTTGATACACTCCCGGGGAGCAGACCTTGCCGGCTGGATGAGGAAGCTTGCGTCTATTTATGGAGCTCCCAAGCGGAATGCAATCTGTGTGCGGGTCTAATCAGTTCGCTCTCGACCCTCGGTGCCGTTAGATCAGAGACCAGTGGGATCACTTTCGAACTCTTGTCATTGAGAATAGTCCGAAGAAAGAGTGTTAGCCGTATCGGGTGGGCCTTGGCTTTGTCGCTTGTTGTTCCTATGGCCGCTGATCCGAGTTTTGAGTTGGTTTGGAATTGAAATTTATGCAGATGAGTGTTGGGCATGCGACTGCAGGTTGCCACCACACTCTATCTCTGTCTCGAGATCTGCTTCTGCTTCTGATTTCGATTCCGATTCCGATTCTAGACCCGGGCTCGGTTGCGTCTCTGGCTGCGGCAGTGCCTGTGGCAGCGGCAGCGGGGAGGGGACGCCGCCAAGCGATCGAGCGCGCGAATGAGTGTGATCGAAATGGAAACTAATTAAGTGACAAGTGCACCTTATCTGATTGCTGTGATGCGCATGAAACACACAACACATCGATATGGAATTATATATAAGGTGATGCTAGGCTCCCTGGGCTATAAATACTTTTGTCGAGCAGTTTCCGGCACTCAGTGCGCGCTCAGCTCCCGTCCAGGATGGGTAACCCAAGACGCATTCATGACCAGCATCAGGGCCGCCATGGCCTGGCCAAGATGACAGGGCGACTACTGTTGATGGGACTGCTTGTGGTCCAGTTGGCCCGACCAAGTCAGTCCATTGAGTGGACCCTGCCCGATGTCATAGACTCGATTGGCTCCGTCAGCACGAGCATCATCGATCCCAGCCTCCTGCCCACTCCCCAGGGCCTGCTCGATGGCAGCAAGCAGTTGATTGCCGGCTACCCCTTTGAGTATGTCTCCAGCACTCTCAATTTCATATGTGAGTAGACCTCCACCTCCAAGAGTGAGGCTTAAGTGAGAAATATGTTCGCGAATTGGCAGGTTCCCAGGCCCTGTCCTCGCATAAAATCAAGTCCAAGTTTACGCCGGACATCAATAAGATGAACTTCCAGCTCCAGGGAGCCTGCACCAAGACCAACTTTGCGCTTACCGACGCGGAATCCATGTGGAAGAGCCCGGAGTTTAATCCCAAGAAGAAGGTCGTCATCTTGGCCACCGGCTGGACCACCACAGTGAATGGCTCCGACACCATAGATGTCCTGTCCAAGGCCTATAATTGTCGCGGTGATGTCAACTTTGTGGTAAGTTCGGGGACCTGGGCATTGACAGACGGCGAAACGGATCAGTTTTCTTCCATGTCTGTGGAGTTCGTGAACAAGTCCCAGAAGAGAAGCCCTCCCATGCAAAAATTGTATAACAAGAAACCTGATCTGCTCTGTTAAGTCCCTAAAACATTCACTACAACACATCGTTTGCCTTCGCGTTGGACTTCTGTCAAGCACAGTTTATTCAAAAAAGTGAGACGAAACCGAATAGATTCGGTGGGACTCGGTGGTGCTTTGAGGGACACGATTCGACTCGGTGGGATTCGGTCGGTTCTGAGATTCGGTGGCACTCGGTTAGTTCGAATCCACGTCTCAGCTTTCTCATAACATCGAATCTTTCGCCCAAGACGGACCGAACAAGGCAGGTATCATCATTTCGGGTTTTTTTCTCGCTCACTCTTCATTTGGCACGAAGCCAAAAAACAGTTTGTAAGGGGTTCATATATATACCAGAAACCCACTCTCTATAAACAGAGTTATGATCAGAGTAAAATATATAAAGTACCCTATACTTTTAGGCTGTGGATGCGGCTCGGTTCGTGGACACCCTGTACACATGGTCGGCTTTCAACACGGAGGAGATTGGCGAGAACATTGCCCATGGCCTGGTCCATTTGCTGGACCTGGTGCCCGTGGAAAACATTCATCTTATTGGCCACAGTCTGGGCGCTCACATTGTGGGCTCTGCGGGTCGCCATCTGCAACGTCTGACGGGCAAGACGATACCACGGATCACCGGCCTGGACCCGGCCAAGCCATGCTTCAACGAGGGCGAGATTCTTTCCGGCCTGCTGCGCGGCGATGCCGCCTTCATTGACGTGATACACAGCAACCCGGGGGTGCTGGGCAAGAAGGATCCGCTGGGGGACGCCGACTTCTATCCGGGCGGCATCCATCCGTTGCCCGAGGGCTGCTACTCGGTGGTCTGTGCCCATGCCCGCGCCTGGCAGTACTACGCGGAGTCCGTCTTTCCCGGCAACGAGCATAACTTCATGGCCACGCGATGCAACTCAATGCAGCGCCTGCGAGATCTCCGCTGCCCGGGCAACGAGCACCCCATGGGCTACGCCGCGCCGACCACCATCCGGGGCAACTACTTCCTGGAGGTCAGCGGCACATCCCCGTACGGCAAGCATGCCAACATCGTGCGCACGATGAGTCATGAGCATTGCGGCGTCTGTCCCAATGGGCCGGACTCGACCACTACCCCGACCTCGACTCCGAGCCAGTCCTAAGCCTATCCCTATTCCTATTCCTATTCCTATTCCTTTCCTATTCTAATATAACCTTCTCAAACATAATCTCTACTGCATATCTATGCACATATATGTATCGCTAGAGCTAGAGTAAGGCCTTGTTATTGTTTTTCTTGTTTATGCTCTCTATCACTCTGTTGTTGGCTAACGCGGCCTGCTCTCGCTCTCGGTCTCGGTCTGGGCCTGGCCCGATTGCGGTTGGCCGATAAGCAAAATACAATTTGCCTTCTAAGCGTTGACAATTCAATTAAATTCGTGTTTATTATTTGTGCTTATGCAAAGCGGCAAGGAGACAACCAGCTTGTGGTAAAGAGGCCGCAGTGTCGCCACTAACGACGCCCGTCCCGCCTGGCATGCAACGAGCTCCGCGCTGCCAGATGATTGTTGACTCGAGTCAGTCTCTCTGACTGCCTGGCGCCCCGGCTGACTCGTACAGTGGGATCGGTTAGTGGGGGAAATTGGAATTGGATGTCGTCTGGTTCTGGCTTGCCATCCAGACGATGCTTTACTGCCAGCTAAGGTCAGCCACACAGCACTGGTGAATGTTGACTTGACTCTCCACTGGAGCGGGGTGCCGCTGGGAATGAGTTCACTCCTAAATGGGCTGGATGTCCTAGATGCTATGGGTCGAAAGTTGTCATCTGAATCAGGTGGTTACAATGTTAGCTGGAGCATTAGACGACTTCCAATGTGCTTGATTACCATATGAATGGCATTCCCAAGAGGCTGTATCTATAGGGTTGCCATGCCTGACTTGGCAGGGTCATATTAATTAAGATCTTGACGGAGTCCTTTCTCTGGCGAGTGTCGTCTGGCGAGCAGGAAATGACAAGGGCTCGAGGTAACTTTTCGACAGATTTTTCCACTGTGCCACTGCAGGCGGCAGCCAGCCCCTTCACCTGGAGTCGTCTTTGTCTGACTGTCTCTGCTTGTGGCAAAATCTGCCAGCATGACAAATGACTCACTCGACGCCAGCTTCTTCGCAGTCCGGCTGTCGGCTGTCCCCTGTCCCCTGTCCGCGGCTTAAGCTTAAGCTTAAGCTCCGAGGCAGAGGCAGAGGCAGAGTCAGAGCCAGCGGCAGCGGCAGCTTTTGCAGTTTCCGCCACAAGCGAGGCGAGGAAATGATCCATCAAGCGTGTGAGTTATGTACGAGAAATGTTGCAACTTGGTGGCCACATGGTTGCTTGAGTAGTTGGCTAGCTGCTTCTGCTTCTGCCTGTGCCTCTGTTTTTGGGAGAGGTGTCAGCTGGTGGCTTGTAAAGCAGTTGACCCTGGTCAAGAATCGGACGCTCAAAGTGGTTTAATAAACTGCAATTACCTCGGCTGGCGTCGTCGGTGCGTTGCGGTGTCTATGTCGCAGCTGGTTTCGGTTGTTTATCACTCGACCAGGGCAACACCTCATCCCAAACAGCATCGTAATCACAATCCCCATGCCCCTGCCAGCCAGCCCAGCCACCCACCCACCGTCCCGTGCGATTTATTTTGTGGATTCTCGACTTGACGCGCGATGCCCAACCCCAGACGAGATCTGTCTCGGTCTGGGTCTGGGCACGCAGTTTTGCGATAAATACCGAATGCCGGCCAAGCATCCATATCATTCGAGTGCCACACTTCGAGACGCACACCAACCAATCAGGATCCCATCAGGACAGCAACGCAGCACCATAAGACTCCAGCAAGACTCCGACAACCCCAAGAACATGAAGCTGCTCATTGTGCTCTGCGCTCTGGTCGCCGGCGCCACCGCCGGACTCATCCGCACCTCATCTGGCTCTGGCTGGGGCTCCAATCCGTGGGGCAGCAGCAGCAGTGGCTGGAGCAGCGGCCACAGTGGTGGTGGGTGGAACAACGGCTGGTCCTCCCAGCCCCAGGTCATTAAAGTAATCAAGATCGGCGGCGGCGGAGGCGGCTGGGGCGGCAGCAGTGGAGGAGGCTGGGGTAACTCTGGCGGCTGGGGCAACTCTGGCGGCTGGGGCGGCAGCAGCAGCTCCAACAACGCCTGGGGCGGCAACAGCGGCTGGGGCAATGGATGGTCCGGCTCCGGCTCCAACAGCGGATGGTGGTGAATACCAGCAGATCCGTACAACCCCTGAACCCACTCCCTGTCCCATCCTTGCCTCCTTCCTCCCCCCTCCCTTCCCCCTCTCTCTCTCGCGGCCTGCACTGAACTTGATTCATTCTGAATTTGTATCATAATATTATTGTGTTTACCAACGTTTTGTAATACTCATATTTTTTTGTCTTATGATTTTGTTTGCAACAAATACAAATTGCATCGTAAATTGATTCGACTTCGACTTTTAATATCCGAAAGTTGTCCAATTAGAGGGGGATCATGATCATCTTCTCGCACCAGGCTCGACCTCATATCTGCCTCGGCTCTAACATATGCACATTATTCAGAAGAACTTTGAATTATGGATCGTCGGCAATTAACATTCTAAACTTGAGAAAAACTGAGCAATAATTATTGCTTTATGCATTTTTAAAATGATTGTGGAACATCGTTGTTGCTGTCGGATCTTTTCAAGGTGGAGATGCGACTGGAGTTCAGTCGAGATCATCATCAATAGCCAAAGAAGCAGATGCGGCAGGGGCCACACAGTACAGTGGGCCATTTAGCATATTTACAAGAGACATTTAAAAGAGTTCTTAGATTTGTAGATCTATAAATTTTCTGAGATTGAGTGCCGGACTTGAGTGCTGGCACAGCAAACAATTTTCAGTTTTCTGCTCATTTAAGAGCTTTTCCAACTCGATTTTTAAAGGAAAAAGACTCTTATCTGATAAAGGAATCAATATTCTGTTAAATTGGCAAATTTTTAACTATGGGCGTAACTATGGGCACACTGACCATTTAGCACTTTGGAATGCCCTATGTTTCCGCCTTTGAATGCACTTTTATCGGACTAAGAATCACACTTAGTTCTAGTTCTATGGAACAGTCCAATATTCAATCTCGAAATACCTCCAAATAGCCACCGAATCGATGAAATATAGAAAAATGGGACGTAGCGAACCAGAAACCATAGAATCTCAGAGGAAAATCTTTCTGTAGAGGGTATTGTGATATTCTGAATGCATTCTTGATCCGATCAACCGACGAGCTGGATGAGTCCGTCACAAAATGATTGTCTTTACAAATATAACCAAAGAAACGTTTGAAAACGAATCCCTTCCAGAACACTTCGCAGGATGCAATGCTCAAGTAATTAGCCTAAAGTCGAGAGGAGTCTGATTGGTCTATGAGGCGCTTGAGGTCCTCCGGTGGCTTTCCTGGCTTTGATAACATAACTATGGGGGCAAACTCCATTCTTTGGGAAACTAAGCTAGCCTGATGCGTTGAAGATCATCAACAGGTAAAGTATCGCCCTGTGTGGGTCTATTGAAGGATCGCTAGGGGCCTTCTTGGACTTTAAATTCTTTATGTCTTCCGAGATTTCTTGGAGACTGCCACAGGAAGCTCCATCTGGTGGGTCTAGTTCAGACTCTCGGATACCATATTTGATCTTCTGCTTAAGGTCGTACATAAAGGTGTGAACTTTGTATCTATTCATATGTGATCTTGACTAAATTAGAACAATTTACCTGAATTTTGTCCCACGGTGTGCAGCCAAGACAAGTCTCTTATGGTTCGCTGCTGGAGGTAGAGGTCGCCACATGGACTAGGCTCTGGGTCATGCCTCCGATGTGTGCAGCACGCGTTACCAGCCAAGAGGAGGAGGTCGACCCAGGCGGTGGCATAGCTGATGAAATTTATGGTAAGTAATGCACTTGAGCAATCATCTGGCTGTGTTTGCATGCAAATTGACATTGAACTACTGTCCGACTGTACCCTGTACGTGTGTGCCGCAGTGGGCCTGGTCTGTGGCTGGGAGTGTGCTGGTGTCTATGTGTATGGGAGTCGTGTCAAACACATTTAACAACTGCCACTGCCACTGCAAGTACTACGGTTGCGGCCGCGGCTGCGGCTGCGGTTATGGCCGCAGTGAAAATGGAGATTAATTGCCGCAAATATTGCATGGGAACACCAAAATCGAAACGAAAAATAAACATAAATATGGCTTTTCATCGTCTCACTAAGACCGTATATTGAATGCTCTCTATGGTGGCAATTTATGTTGGCTGTGATGTACCGACTTAACTTTGTTCATACTAAATCGATCTATTTTTAGGGGCCTAGTGGGTTTGCATAGAAGATCCCCCTTTTAAAAAATCCTGTAGGGGGGGGGGACCGTTGTTCGTCTTTGCGGAATGTACAGATTTCTATATTTTCTCATCTATATTTAATGTACGCATTAGTATGTTTTTCTGTAGGGTTTCCATCGGGGCACAGTCAAAAGATGCTCAGGGCATAGACAAATCGCAAGGCTCTGGTGGATAAATGTGTAAACTGTTTGCAATTAATGATGCAGCTATGGCTCAGCGATTTACAAGTGGTTCGACAACGACGTGGCGTCAGTGGCGATTGTGGCGGTGGCGGTGGCGTATACGCGATTTTCAGATGCTCGAACGTTGCGTATGCGCTTTGTGGGCCGTACTTGAACAGACAGAAAATTGCATTGTGTAGACTTTTTCGCTCGACTTCGAGTGCAGTTCTCAGCCTTCCTTTGGGAGCGTCAGCGGTTCTCGAGGTGGCCAACAGGGCGAGGGAAGGGGGGGAATGGGAATAGGAATAAGCCACCTTCCATGCCAAATCGGGCGCTGGATGACTCAGCTAATGTGTTAGCCAGCTAGTTCCGTGGCAAGTGCTATAAAAACGCAGCTCTGGGCCCAGCTGGATCATCAGTGGAGCTAAGGTTCCAACAGAAGTCAGTCAGCGGTAGTTAATCAGCCCCATCCGATTTCCGATTCCAATTCCAATCCAAGGACCAATCCGCAGCTCATCAAGATGCGTAGCGCTCTACTCGTTCTCTTCCTTTGCGGCATGCTTTTCGCATTTGCCTCAGCCGGACTGCTGGGCGGCGGCGGTGGCGGGGGTGGTGGTGGTTACGGCGGAGGCGGCCAAGGAGGCTGGCAAAATAATGGCGGCGGCGGGGGTGGTCACGGCGGAGGCGGCCAAGGAGGCTGGCAAAAGAATGGCGGCGGCGGGTTGGGCCAAGGAGGCTGGCAAAATAATGGCGGCGGCGGCGGCGGAGGAGCACAGGGAGGCTGGCAAAAGAATGGCGGTGGAGGAGGAGGACAAGGAGGCTGGCAAAATGGAGGCGGCGGCCAAGGAGGCTGGCAAAATGGCGGAGGCAGCCAAGGAGGCTGGCAAAATGGCGGAGGCAGCGGTGGACACGGCGGTGGCAAGTCCTTGGCCGGGAATCGTGGAAGTTCCGTCTCCTGGCAGGGAGGAAATGGCGGCGGCGGCGGTGGCAAGCACGGCGGCGGCGGAGGAGGCGCTGGTGGCAAGCACGGTGGAGGCTGGTAGGCCACTCCGACCCCAAACCACCCCTTCAGCTGATGCTGATATGTGTTCCATGGCATAGAGATAGAGACCCTATAATCCTTCTAATTTTCTTTGATCCAAACTTTCTGCCCCAACTTTTTTCCTATTTCTATTTTTTTTTACTAATAAAAAAACTGTATGCATTTAAGTCGTGGTTTTTCTTTATTGCTTCGGTAGTTCGGTAGTAAAAAAGAAAAGTACAAGGTAGACAGCGTTCTACACGACCTTACCATAAATCGGACCTCAGTTTTCAATCAGCCACATGTCGAACAGCTGTCGCTTCTGCTTCTTTGAACCATTTAATGACTAACTTTTTACTCAAATTCTAGCTCAAAAGTTGATTCCCATTAGCCTTGGCTTTTTAAAATCCATCCCTATATGGGAAATTTACAGACAGACAAGTATATGTACTATATATCACTGCCTGCCCAAAGCTGTCATCGAGAAGGGGCGCGTCACTCAACCCAAGTCCCAAATGGCTGCCCAGAAGGCCATCCCGGAAGAGTCATGTCGCTCCCGAAGGGTCTCTAGCTATCAGTCATTTCACACTGGAATCCCTGCCACAAAACAGTGGGTATCCGCTATCTGGAAGACTTTGAGCCAGGGGCAGAAGGATATGTTCAAGCCAGAGAACATGCCGAACGACATGCGACTGCTAAAAGGTTTTTGAGGACGTTTTTGAAGACAAAGCGGAACAGGGGAACACGGAGAAGTTGAAAAAACCCAATACCATGTGTATCATAATGTGATGACGAAGTGCAGATTTCGAACTAAAATTCGCACCACACTGTGGTCTCCAATGCTTTGAATTTGGAGAAGAGGAAATATACATATTTATTAGTGCTAAAATTGGTTCTTTGATGCAGCTAGCATTTCCCTTTAAAGGTGGAAGAATGTACCTGAGGACATTCTCTGAGGACTATCCTTTTATACTCTTTGAAATTGATATCGCAGTCACACTTCTCACACCAACACCAGCCGTTACATCTCACTCGCGTCCTCCAGAGGGCGCACAATGCACGAAAAAGAGAAAGACAGAGAATAAGTAAGGGCGTGGAAGGGGTAAATTGGCTATAATAATAATCGGATCAATGAGATATTCGGCATTCTCGTAAAAAGGCTCATTCTCTAGAGTTCTGCGTTTTCGTATCTTCGAAATTGTGGACGCCACAGGTTTTTCTTCTTTTTGGGAGCGAAAGAGGCGGTGTGAGATTTGGAATACACTTGTAAAAGTGTGATATCACAGAGTCTCTCCGTCTGTCTGAGCTTCTGAATCTAAAAGTCTATAAGAGATGAAGAAATATTTCCCCATCTAAATACGATTATCATCAATAGTTTCTTGTAACCTTCTAAATTCAGATACGGGTAGTAATAGTAAGGCTCCAACTCATTTATCACCACCTCTGGGCAAAGATTATTTGCTCCTTTCTACTTAGTCCAGGCTCGCAATCACAATTACATTGTTGTAAAATTTATTGACATATTAAGAAATGCAAAAAAAAGGTGGTTAATCTTAAGAAGACATATGTTATGTACAAGTGGAGCAGTGGTATCTAGTGTCGCCTCGTTGCCTGTCGTCGTATGGATCGCGCATCTCTTCACCAGCTCCAGCCGCCGCCACCTCCACTGCCGCTGGAGGACCAGCCACTGCTGCTCTTGCTGGGCCAGGCCGAGGAGCTGCTGCCCAAGGACCATCCGCTGCCTCCGCTGCTGCCGCCGCTCTTCCAACCTCCGCCCCCGCCGCCGCCGCTCTTCCAGCCGCTGCCTCCGCTGCCGCCGCCACTCTTCCAACCACTGCCCCCGCCTCCACCGCTTGACCAGCCTCCGCCTCCGCCACCACCGCTCTTCCAGCCGCTGCTGAGGCTGCTGAGGCTTGTCAAGGCTTGGGACTTCCAGTCGGATAGGCCGGATAAGGCACTCGACCAGCCGGATCCGCCTCCACCTCCGCCGCCCGAGCTCACTTTCCAGCCAGAGCTCCCGCCGCCTCCACCGCTGGGCCAGCCCGAGGTTCCACCCGAGGACCATCCACTGCTTCCCCCTCCACTGGGCCAGCCGCTGCTTCCTCCGCCACTCTGCCAGCCGCTACCTCCTCCTCCTCCACTGCTTTTCCAGCCCCCGCCGCCGCTGCCTCCTCCTCCGCCAGAGGACCAACCACCGCTAGAGGGCCAGGCGCTGATGCTGATCTTGTTGCCTCCCGAGGACCAGCCACCGCCGCCTCCACCGCTGCTGCCTCCGCTGCTCCAGCTGCCATGTGGCTTGGCAAAGGCGGTGACACCCAGAGCCACCAGGAGACCGGCCAGGGCCAAACGTCGCGTTGTCGAATGCATCTCTGCAGCTGCCGTGAACTAACTAATTTCCGACTGTGCCCACTCTCGGCTATTTATACCACCTGGCTGCCTGCTGCCTGCTGCCAGCCAGAGCTAAGCTCATCTAAGATTCTAGCCGGCCTCATCAGCCTCAGCTTCAGCTTCAGCACCAACACCGGCTTCCAGCATCGGCTTCAGGTTCAGCTTCAGCTTCAACCTCAGCTTCGTCGTCGTCGGCTGAGTCGTATAATCAGATGTAATTGCCAAAACTGCCAAAGCCAAAGCCGCCTGCACTGGCGGACGCCCGTCTGTTGGCTGTGTCTCGGCTTGGCTGTGTCTTGGCTTGGGCCTCATTATGCCAACATCGACTTTCAATTTCGTACGCTTTGTTAGCGACCACCAGTAATGGGTCTAGCAGTCTGCCCGGCAACGCCTCCAGACTCAAAGACTCGAAAGACTCATAGACTCCGTTGCGCATGCGCACCTGACTGCATCGGTATCCATGTTAATCCCTGGCGATCCATGGCGATACCGCATCATGATCACCGATTTATTGGCTCGCCATTTTTGTGTAACAGCCCAGACTACTTAATTGAGTTCGGTTGCTCAGGCTCAGAGCCTGAGGAGAGGAGCCTTCGATCGGTCCATCGATTCTTGATGCCTGCCCATTATTCAGAACGATATCTGGCCAGGCGGCAGAGCAGCCGAGTGCCCGATGCCTGGCGGAGGTGCCACCAGCTGTGTGTTTCTCTTTGGCTACCGTGCAACGGTTGCACATAATTCGTGCTGTCTGGCAAATAGGTTCGCAATCAATCGATCAATCAATCAATCAATCAATTTCAGTTCGGGTTCGATTTTTTGGTGCAACTTTATGTTCTTTATGTGTTGATACACAACTTATCCTAAACCAAAGACTGGTGTCGGATCACCGATCTTAGCACCTCGTCGGATTTTCCACCCAGACCCCAGAAGAGGAGAGGAAGTATAGTTTTCAACCCGACGCTTTTGATACCCATGATACCCATCCATTACATATGGAATTTGTTTTAAATTTTTAAAACTGTTTCATCCCATTAATTTCCGTTTATTATTATTATTATTATTAGTAAGACGAGTAACGGCCATACTTATTTTTGGCACTCGTTTCTTTCAGACTGTCTTTTGAGGCTCTCCTAAAATTAATTGAAAAGCAAGAAGAAAGCCCCCAAAAGCCATCTGCTACATCCTGATACACGCGTTTTAGATCTTTTTTCACAGCGCTGTCGAAAACACCCTTAACTTTGGGATTTTGCACAGTGCTTTAACAATTTCTGAAAACTTTTGCCCCCCCCAATATCAAAAGACTCGTAATTTTGGTATCCTTTAAAATTGGAATGGGGAAAAGAATCTTTTGCCATTTCAAGCAGTTATTTTATATTAAATAAATTAAATAAATAAATAATAAATTAAATAAATAAATTAAATTAAATATAAATATGGTGAATTTTATTATTTTATTATCCAACCTGTCAAAGGCAAAAGGATCTTTGAACCCCCACTTCAACTTTCAATCACAAATCGCCTTGCAGATCCTGTCCTTGAATGGACAAATGATTTAAAATTTGATGCTCAAGTATAACACTACAATCTGTATAGACCCATTTCATACCTACATATATCATTAATGTCCATAACCATGGATAATATAGACCATTTCTTCAGCGGAAATTACTTTTTGTACATGTTATCAAATATACTATTATTTATAGTACGACTATAGTATAGTATGAATGAATGAAAATTCTTTAGTTATACACGCTTTACTTCAAACCTCGAATACCCTAGTGGACAATTATTCCAATGTGAAGTCATGTATGATATATGCACATACATATATTATATCTACGTATCTACTATAGTCGCATATTCTATATCAAACAAAACTAGCATCTAAGGCAGACATAAAATAATAAAATAACAATTTTTCTCATATTGTGGGGCAAGCTTCTGAATCTCTAAGTTTATTTCGTCGGATAGGATTATAGTCAGGCTGAAATTTGTCCCCAAATAGAATACAAATTCTTCGCTAAAAGTGAAGAATGTTTCAGAACAAGGATCTGATCTCTAGAGAGTACCAAGCTGCCTTAAAACATGAATGGATTTTTTCCCTCTAAGAGTATACTACGAGTATCAGCGGTTACGAAAGACCGGCTTGTCTTAAATAAACTTGAGCATCGGTCATTTATCTTTGATGTGCCAAAGTTACGACCAGCTTCTATGCATTTTTCTTTTCAATGTAGTTTTGAATCGAAGTGAACTCTTCTATCTCATTGTCTACCCAAATGTCACGGTCAGTCCAAAGGCATATCAAATTTGATTGCACATCATGTGATATACATGAAAGCACCTCAAAAAGTAGGACTTTCAATTCGTGGAACTACAACCAATTGCTCAAGGAGTATTTAAGGGACTGACTTAGCTCCTAATGAAACTGCTTCCCGAATTGGATGTGTAGCCCCAGAAGAAACCAACGAGGAATGCGGCATTCGTGAGCTTGAAGATTAGAACTATATTTTTAGCCCCCAAGAAATCGCTTCTGTGCACTGATCGCATTGCTTCGCGGAGCCCCCTTGGAAAACCGCTTAAACCTTTTGACTTTTTCACGTTTTGCGGACAGCTCTGATGGTTTTCCATTTTCATGGGCGGCATAAAAATCAAATTTGGGCCTTTTGTGCGATCGACTGAGTGGCAGGGCAGACTGGTTGAATGCCTGCCTTTGCCTGAATGAGATTGGTGATCAATCAATTGCCACAGACACAGACATAGATCAGCAGATCAGCAGATCACAATGGCAGTGCACTTTGGTTGCGCAATTTCTGCACCGGGCCAAGTGCTAGACGGCCCAAATTGATTTGCCTTTGTTCGGTCTTCAATTGAGAGCTAACCGACCAGTCCCTGTCCCATTACCGACCAAATCGACTGACTGACTGGTGGCATCGCCTCCAACGATGACCTCAGGCATTGGGTCAAAGCAGGAAGCCGCAGAACCGAAGAACCACAGAACCACAGAACCTCAACCGGTTTCGAGTATAAATAGTCTGTCTCAATTAAGAATGGAAATTATTTTCTTGCAGATTGCATAAATTCTAACAAAAAGTATCTATTATATATGTTAAAAAAAACATGTGTACTAAAAAATAAAAAAAAATTAATCTTAAGCTATTGAAGAAATTTACGCGTGTTTCTCCTTCTTCTCCTTCTTCGGATAGCTTTTTGGTTGTCAGTTTGAACTAAGTTTGGATGGTTGGGGTTCAGGATGGTTTTTGGGTGGGACGGAAGTGGACTTGGGTGGATTTACCAGCCCTTGTTCCAGCCACCGGACTGGCCGCCGGAGTAGCCTCCGGACTGAGCACCGGAGTAGCCACCAGAGTAGCCACCTGACTGGGCGCCGGAGTAGCCTCCAGACTGGGCGCCGGAGTAGCCGCCGGAGTAACCACCGGACTGTCCCTCACTGATGACCTTGACAATGATGACCTTCTGGGGAGCGCCGCCACCAGAGTATCCGCCGCCACCGGAGTATCCGCCGCCACCAGAGTATCCACCGCCGCCGGAGTAACCACCGCCGCCAGAGTATCCGCCGCCACCGCCTTGTCCTCCTCCAAGTCCACCGCCGAGACCGCCCAATTTGCTCTGCAGGAGCTGTGCAATGCCGCCGGCGCCACCGCCACCGCCGCCGCCTCCACCACCGCCACCTCCGAGGAGACCGCCAAGGGAGGCCTGACCAACGGCCAGGATGGCGGCGAGGATCACAAGAATGCAGGCAAAGGGTTTCATCTCGATTTCGATGCGATGTGCTGCTCTAGTGCTGACTGCTGACGAAGAGAAGCGGAAGCGTTGACTAATTCCACCATCGGCAGACTCACGCACATTTATACCCCCGAAATCGAAGCAATCGCAATCGGAATCGGAATTGAAGATGCCCGTGCTGCTGGCCAGACAGAGATGGAGATGGACCCGCCGAACGCCTCGCCCAATTAGAAGCCATTGATAGACGCCGCGGCAGAAGCAACGCAGCATCGCGGCATCGCAGCAGCAGCACGCTATCGATTTCGTAATAACCCACATTTCCATGCCGACGCGTACCGAACCGAGCCGAACCGATCAGATGCCGAAGATGCCGAAGATGCCGAAGATGCCCATGTCCGTGTGGCCATGTTTGTTGCTGGCTGCGTGGATGCTTTGATGCTTGGATGCCGGCAGTTCTTTTGTTTGCTTATGCTAATCGCTGCGCATGCGCGACGTGCTCTGCGGCCGGGGATCTTCATCTTTTGTTTTCTCAAGACTGCACAGTGGCACCGTGCGGCTGGGCAGGGAGTGTGATACTTAGCACTCAATTATATCCAGGGCAAAACGAACCTTGAGTAAGGTTTTACATCAGTTACAAGCGCTTTTAGAAACCACCTGGAAATAGTCGAGGACTACTAAATCGAGGCAATACTGGGAGTCCCAGGAAATTACTCGTTTTTATGCAGTTTTAGAATGTGCCTTTTTGGGCTGTATTTGAATGCCAGGTGTTCCAGTTGCAGGAGGATATACTATATTTGATTTCCGCTTTTAAGAAGGGCACGCACCACGGTGCCTATGGCCGAAAGTCAAACAAATTATCGGCATATAATCAACGCAGCAAACGGCAAACAACAATCAACATTTATATCAATGTTTTGTCAGTTGGCCAAAGGCAGAGCCAAAGCATAAGCAGAAGCAGAAGCAACGCCAAGTGTCAGACTGATTAATGGACCCCACTTGGAGGAGAGTCGGGTGTGCTGCTTAAGCTTGCCCCAAGGCCTGCCCACCACTTAGAAAGCAAATCAGGAAGATACTTTACTCAGAACTAGGGTCCAACTAGGGTCTGCTTTACGGCCTAGTTAAGTCTATATGCCTATCTGTTCTATGTTTGTCTATTTTGAGGCTTGGGGCCCACTTCTAGCGCTGTGAGACTCCACATCACCGCTTATTAATACATGAAACCGGTTGGTTGGGAATCGCTGGCTGCTATTCTATTTCTATATCTCGGATTGGCATATATTTGCATAGCCGCTCGCTAGATATGGCCAGACTCCGTAGGCCTGCCTGTGTATTCCCTCTGGTTATCGGTACTAACTAAATACAAACAATCTCACTTATTCTCTCGCCCGCCCACACGAATGGCCCACGGGTTCAATGCACTTCTTCAGCACACGCCCTGCCCTAAGCCGATGGAAATTTATGCGAAACAAAGAAACGAAACCGAAAAAAAAAGAAATACAAATATTGTTTCTATATCGCAAGTCCGTGTGTGTATTTGGCATTTACATACTCGTTTGCCGTCGATGAATATTCATAATCGCATTATTCGATTATGGTTCAGCCACTATTTCAAGCTGTAAGCTGGCGACCCAACGACAGATCGACAGAACGACTGATCTTGAGGCTTCTTGAGGATTGGACATGTATCAATTGAATCTGAAACGAGTCTGAAACGAGCCAATTTGAAACAAGTAGCAGCTAATGCTAGACGTTTGTCAAGAGATTGCCTCTAAAAAGATGGAAGAGCCGATAGGCCATGCCCGACCACAGAGCTTGTCGCCATTCGATGGTTTCCTGATTGTAATACGCTGTCAGAGTCAGAGGTAGGGAAGGGAATCCGACTCCAAAAATCAATTGATGTTCGTTTCTGGTCTAAGAGGTAATAGAAGCACGCCTGGGGATATAGTCATCTTCTATTTCATTTGTTTAAACAGAAGGAAGTCAATTATTTATTTCGAATTATGATGAGTCTCGACTATCCCCCCAGGCATAAGAACGTCTCACTGGCTGAAATGTATAAGGTTTCCTCGTTAACCCACTCTCAGTCTCTCAGTATCGCAGTATCTCAGTCCAGATCTGTTCAGTTAAGCTTAGATGAGATCCAAGGCGACGATTTCGGAAGAATAACGTAAACATGAACCCGTTTGTGTGGCATCCCCATCCCCAACTCCATCCCCGCCCACAAAAACATGTCTACCCTATTGTTAGATCAAGATTCGAATATATGCATACATATGTATGTATATAGTGGCTTACAATGGGATAAAATTACAGACGGTAATAGCCGAACATAGCAAACTATTTCCCATCGCTTCGCCTTCAAGGTGCTGAAGGCTTCCATTATACTTAGTAAACCAACAGAATTAACATATTTAATTGCGAGCTATGTACCCAAATGAAATTACCAGTGCAATAGTAAACAGAAGTACAAATAGAAACCAACACCGAATCCGAATCCGAATCCGAAAAATGATTGCTGAATGTTTGCCACAAAAGTGAATGGAAATACGAGTACGGGCCGGAGGGGGCAACAGTGGGGGGGCAGAGTCATCATCCCGTCAGAAAGGGCGGGCATCCGTCTGTGGCAATGGCTCTAAAGCTGGACATTAAAACTTAAATTGATGATACTCATAAATCATTGCTGGGTAATATCCAATATTTCAATTGTTGGTCCAGCATTAATTCGAGTCCAAGCAAATTTGCAAGTTTGCAAGTGCACTCGCATTCCCGTTTTATGGCCATTAGGCAAGACAATAAATAACCATCTCACTGGCTGCATATCCATATGTAAATGCATATGTATGTATGCGCCAATGTGTGTGCGAGTACACCCAGCCAAACAGCTAATTGATGGCGGACCGACTCGTATAAATTTAAGCAAATTACACTGCATTGCCAGAGAATCATCACATCATCGGTGGGGTCGTAAAACATCGATTGTTAATTGCTGGCGAATCGATTACACCGCTTACGAGATCGTGGGAACGTAACTCCCCGGATAATAGTAGCTCCAAATGATTGACTTACTGGGATGTGAGTCACAAAGGATCATTCAAGGATTAGTTTCAGTTCTATCTACAAAATATAAAAAAACCAGAAGTCGATGCAAGTTAATCTATTAATCTCAGAGAATTTTATTCTTGAACAAAAGTCAACCAAATCTATCTAATAAGTCTTCTCTTTTTTCTATACAAAAATAGAATAATTAGGAATTGTAAATTTATAAGGCTTTTTTTTAAATTAATGTGTCCATTTTTAAGCTTGTCTTAATGAAACCTATTGTCATGAAAATTAAAGTTAGTTTTTTCTACATGCCATATCAGAAATCATTTCCTGGATTGAATACTGTCTATTATTATATTGTTATTATGTTTTTTGTTATTATTAATATATTGGCCGACTGTTAAATCATTCCGGCTTGCAACCACGTCCAGGCCCATTTCTATAGCAAGTAGGGTTTAAATTCTATACTCAATAAAAAAAATCATCGTTATTAACTAAAAAATCAAGAAAATTGAGTTTTAAACGGCTCCCATCCAGACCCCAGCGACGCCGCACACATGAACGCATAATTTGTTCAGACTTTTGTGTACATAAAACCGATCAGCGAGCGTACAAAAACGTAATTTAATTTGTGCCTGTGTGTGTCTGGCCGCTATCGCTGCCAAGGCACTCGGAGCCCAAAGGCCAGAGCCAAGCTCATACGAAGACCCACCAGGCAGAGCCAGAGCCAGAGCTAGAGTCAAGCACATGGCAAATCGAACGAACCCAGTCGCGAGACTCGTTGACGCCGGCGATCGTGAGTTGCCGAATAGAAACGCACAAAGCCAAAGGCAAACAAAGAAAAGCGCTGAAATCCAAAGCCAAACAAAGACGGCCAGCGGAAGTAAAACAAAAACACAACAACACCAACAGCAGCTACAGCAACAAAATCAAATGAAAAAACCAAAAAATCAATGCACACACATTTTCATACCACATATAACCGATAAATCGATGCGTTATATCAATGACAAGCGATCAATTGTTCCACTTCAAGTTTTTTTTTGGTTTTTTGTATGTAAAGGCGGAAAACAAAGTTTGTCTGGTGGGATAGTGTCGAGGATTGGCTTGGAACTGTTTGATCTTCCCTTGCTCCTTTTACTCCTCTTTTTAACTCTTTCCACGCCAACTTTCGCTTTCCGTCGCAATGACATTGACCTTCAGTAGTCGTCCCAGTCGGTCCCCCCGCAAGGGCAGAGCGTAAAGTGCACAGCTGAAAACGGGTTTTTCGGCAGCCAATGGGCAACGCAGATGGCGCCATCTACCGTTGAAGCTGCGTTGAGCTTCCGAACTACACTACAGGTAACTCTGGTTATGTTGGGCCCTCGTTGTTGTTGGTGGTCGTGTAGTTTTCATTAACGAGTTCTTGCAAAAGATGAATCGAAACATTAAAATATAGAAATTACTTTTGTATCAAATCACTGTGTATGCAGTGTCCCTTAGCTCAGACACTATCTGCCTTTTTCTGTAGGCAGTTCAAGTTTGTGAATTGGATTGGAATGAATTAGACTTCAACCATATAATAGCCAATTTATCCTGTTCCTCCATGGATCCATTGATCTTCAGAGACACCTAGATTTTCAGTGTGATGCTCAATAAGTGTGATATAGAAAAGCTTCAGTCCCGACTGCTTTGCATCAAAACGCAAAGGTTAGAAAAAGCTAACGATACAGCGTAAAAGCTTTGTTTTACGGAACAAGCTCTGAAGGTAGTGCTTCTTCTGAAAGCCAAGCTCACAACCACCATCTGTTTATCGATAAAGCTATGCCGTTGAGCCGTTGAGCTTTTACCGCATTCAAACAATTTAAGAAACGAACTCTGTTTTGATTGGTTATTTTTAATTGCATATTAGGTCCAGATTCATTATCGATTTCGTTACAATTTCAAAGGTCTAATCGTTCCACCAGCCAGCACCGCCGCGGGAGCCACCGCCATAGGAGCCGCCACCAGCAGCACCACGAGCACCACCGCCATAGGAGCCGCTGCCAGCGCTGGTGGCATGGTTAACTGTGTAATCGAACTCGGCGGGGTTGCCCCAGGCATTGCCACCAGAGCCGCCAGCTCCTCCTGCTCCCTGCCAGCCGCCAGCTCCTCCAGCACCTCCTGCTCCCTGCCAGCCGCCAGCTCCTCCTCCAGCTCCTCCTGCTCCTTGCCAACCGCCAGCTCCTCCTGCTCCTCCTGCACCCTGCCAGCCACCGGCACCGCGTCCTCCACCGACTCCAGATCCTTGCCAGCCTGCGCCCCGTCCTCCAGCGCTACCTCCATAGGATGCAGCGCCACCTCCATAGGATGCAGCACCACCTCCATAGGAGCCACCGCCAGCTCCATATAAGCCAGCTGCAGCCCCACCACCATTTCCATGTCCCTGTCCTCCAATATGGACCTTGGTGTTTCCATGGGACTGCGAAACATGCGAGACGAGTCCTGCTCCATTGGCTGGTCGGCCGCCGAAACCACCGCCGAAGCCACCGCCGCCTCCTCGACCTCCGCCGGGCAGATAGCCCCCGCCAGCGCCACCACCACCACCAGCACCACCGCGGAAGCCGCCAGCATTAGCCAGTGCCAGAGAGGCCAACAAGCAGACGAATACCTGAAAAAGAGCACAAAGATCAAATTGAAGTCCAGATGGCTGTGGATCCTTCCAGAGCTGTGGTGCTTGCCTTCATTCTTGGAGACTTGGATTAAGATTCGGGATTTGAGTTTTGAGATTGTTCTCGGAGCTGAGATCCAATGGTTTGTGATGCCTGTCCACCAAGAGACATCGCCATTTATAGTCAGAGTCTTGTGGATCTTCTACGGCTAATGATCTTCTCAAGATACGATACATAACAAAGATTCGGCAAGATACAACAAAATTCAATTTGAAAAGCGAAAAAATCGTAAAAAGCCAAAAACCAAAACATCAATTTGCCCTGCTCAATTATTAGATTCTCTCTGGTACTACTCCATCGCTCAATAGTTCCGACCTGAACTCATATTTATCTTTATCTTTGACGCTCTGACGCTTGGCCAGTGTCTTGTTTCTCGCTTTGTTTTCCTTGGCTTTAATTAAAAGTTTTAAATTAATTGCAAAGAGGCAATTAGCCATCACCGATTTTTGCCTGTGGGCCACCGATTTGCTCCCCGCACTTCGCACCCTTCATGGCAGCCGGCGCTTAAAAGACGCCCCCAGTGGACGCTGTGCGTCCAGTTTATGCCCAGCAATGGCCACAATCAGTGCTGCCCAACTCCACTGCGTGGGCGATCCACCCACTGCTTGTCTTCCTTTCTTTCCAGTTGGTTTATAAATTTTTTTTCTTTTTTGAAAGTGAGCAAATTTGTTTATGCAACCGAAAGTGCAGAAACGCAACTCATAAACCGGACAAACATCCAGAGATGGAAATCTCAACAAACACACTCAAACTCAAGTCCAATGATGTTTACAATTTCTAGATAGCAAACACAGTGTTTTCCTCCGAGAGGTTTCCCACAAAGCGATTAAACTCCATTCCCCATAGTCCCCTCCCCACTAGTTTCAGTGTAATTTATGAAATATGTACAGTGTTGGTGATACTTTGAATCAAAAACAGAACCAGCACCAGAGACATTCCACATTGAGATTCTTCTTCGTTGGATTCATAGGTACAATATCCTTAAGAGAAGCCCTTACTCGGCTTAGGAATATATTATTATTTTTCAAATCTATCAATGTTCAAGTCTTTCTGTGTCTCAGATTGAAGTTTAACTTATTTGATTACCCAAATGAAATAAACTATCCAAGATATTCGATAATTTTCTGTACTACGTATGTAAATCTTTTTGGAATACAAAAATTGTGCTAATGATATCAATGTGCTATGCTACATTTTATATAAAATTTTCTTATAATTGTAACTTATCTAAAAATGCAATAATGACAAATTTTAGTCACTTCGGACTGGTATATCTTCCCCGGAATCCCCATCCTTTTCATACCTTCTCTTCCTTGTTCCCCAATCCAATTTAACACATCAATTAGGCCAACCAAATCATCCAAAATTAGCCGTGATATATAGTGCTGGAAAATTGGAGATGGCATTAAGAGATGGAAATTTATGCGAGCTGGGGGCTGCCACTCCACTCCACCGAACAGAAGCTGCGGCAAGATGACAACTAAACAGCTAAACAGTTTTGTTCATACACAGATCAAATAAATCAGATATAGGGTATTCAAAGTGGCAGCCAGCTCTTAAAGCTGCTCTCCCAATCTGCGTTTTTCTCCGGCTGTCCCAGTGCAAGTGCAAGAGAAAGCCTCTCTCTATCTCTCTATCTCTCCCTCTCTTCGTCTTTCTTCGGCCTCAGTGACTGAGTCTCCAGCTCGAAGTCTCTGCTACGGACTCTCTGCCTTGCCTTTCGCTCTTTCGGTTGATTTTTGGAGCCGAGCCGGGCTTCATTTCAGCCGCTGCAGATTTGGCCAAATCATTCCGTTGCCAACGTTGTAACTGGAAAACGTGTTCGAACGGATCGCTGTAGCACCTGCCGTACGTCGCGCTGTCGTCATATCGTCTCTGTCGCGAGTGGTGCATTTTCCGGATGATTTATCGCCACTGCCACTGCCACCGCCCGTGTCCTCCCCCCTCCGGTGTGCCCCTCAGAAGTGAACACTATCCTCGGACTTGAAGTGCGTGACACCTTAGGTTTTTGCCGAGTTTTTGTTTATTTTTTTGGTGTTGCTTTTCATAATCGTTAATCATTGTCGGCAACTATTTATAAATGTTTGAAATTGAAAAAATTTCATTACCAAGCTACGAAATACAGAAAAAATACGAGATAAATATGATAAGTGTTTGCTGAATCATAACTTTTGGGTGCCAAGAGGAATACACAGCCAATAGATCGAGAGAGTGGTTATTAATATTCGAAAAGAATTGACAGGTAAGCTTAAGAACACCATAGATATATTTAAAAGTAATTAAAAAAAATACAAGGAACATTTGAGTACTATTATTACGCTCCTAGAAACAAACCTCGTAGTCCGGCAGTATTTTTCGCAGTCAAAATTTTTGCTATCGATTGCAAACTCTACAAGTGACTAGGCCTATAATCGTCTCAAATGAACAGGCGAAATGTTGTAAAGGACGCCGATGTTTTAGCCTCAAAAAAGCCTCAATAAAATCGCAAAAATCATGGTCCCGTCTTAGGGCTTGCAAAACCGGCCATGCCTAAAATCCGCTTGTTCCATTTTGTGTGTTTTAATCGCAATTCTGAGATCAGTTATTAAGTTCATACAGTTTGTATTTTCCTGGTTGAGAACATGAAAGCAGAGAGACTGTATTTTCTGGGGATTTTACTAACGTTTTGTTCGAGCCAAGACTGGATAATTCTAGTATAAGCTACTACTACTTAATCTCCATTCCTAACAATATACATACATCATTTGCATCACAAACACAATAGATATTTCACATACGAATAAGTACAGGGTACCTTATCGGACCAATATTGGAATTAATTGTCAAAAACTCATTGTCCAAGGTGCTCTTTCATATTTATAGATTCACATTCAAAGATACTTTACCACTGAAAGTCTTTGGCAAGCCTTCTTTTTTCTATTTTTATTTTTATTTTTTAATTTGTGGATAAATGCGCATCGGCTTGATTTTGCTTTGTGCAATTTTCTTTCGTCTAGCAAAATGTTCATGGTCTATTAATTGCCAGAGCAGCTCATTTTCTTTTATACATATGAATTAACCATATATGCACATATATTTGGCTTTTATTTTTTATGGTCTCATGTGGGGCCCACACTTCATGTACGAGCATATCGAAAATCAAAATCAAAATCAAAATCATTTTCAGTCAGCTTTGGGCAATGCCCCATGGCCCGGGGCACTTAGAAATTGCTTTGAGTACGATTGGAGCCGTACGCAATTTTCCATTAAACTTAGTCTAGCTACGGGTTTTTTTGCTGCTGCTGTTGCATTTGCAGAACAAAAGACTTGGGCAACAAACTTGACTGCGCTTGCGGTTTTGTTGGCTTTGCGATGGGGGCGGGGGCGGTGGCCGTGGCGGCAGGCGGCAGGCGGGGGCGACAGGTGACAACGCAACGTCTCTATGTGCATTCAGATGGATGACTTTCTCCCTGCCGTTTCGTGCCGTTTCGTACCGAGCCCCAGTGGCTCCAGCTGCAGACTCTGGTTCTAAGTGCCATTGCTAATAAGCCGCGGGGATTGTTGTTTGGTTTTTTGTTGTCGCTCACTCGAGGGTAGCCAGGGGCATGCAGATTCGATGATAGCACACGCTGCGGGCACAACATTCCACTGTGGAAGCTCAGGAAAATGTACAAAATTCTTTGGCTCCCAGGCATCCCCGATCTACCATCCTCCAAAAACAATAAAGATGTCTGTCTGAGGAAATTTACAAGTTAATCTATATATATTTGGATTGGACAGAATTTTTGGGAATTAAATATTCCAGAACCGACCTAGAAATGTTCCAACCGATCTCAACGAAACATATTCATAGTCTTTAGGTAGTTTCATTTAAAAACTGAGCATCAAAGGGTCTAACCTTTGGCGAACGTATCTCAATTTGGGCGACTCGCTCACTTGGAAAACAGTCTCCAACTCCGACTCCAACTCCGTCAGCGTCTCCGTTTCAGAGACTCTCGTATCCAAGCTCCAAATGATATTAATTGCCCCTCACACACCCATACCCATACCCATACACTTGGGTACTTAGTTGACTTTCATTGTCTTGACGGTGGGGTTTGTGGGGGTCTTATTATGCGTCAAGCGTACGAGTACGAGTATTTTTATGCTTCATATACATACTGGTACTCGTACTCGTACTCGTACTCGTATGTTTTCTGCCCTGACTTTGACTGCAGCTCCAGTTTAATCACACTTTTAACTCCGTTTCACATAATACTAATTTCATAATTTGCACCGCCCAACGCACCACCACCGCCAACAGCACCACCAACACCACGAGCACCGCACCGCACCGCACCGCACCGCACCGGCTGCATACATTTCAGCCGGGCCGGGGCATTTTCACTTTTACACATCGGCACATCGGTGGCAACAATGATTAAAATAAATCTCGCCCGTTCATTTTGCATAAGTGGGGACTTTTTCCCAACATTCGCCGATGGGAAATCTTCGCTTCGGGATCGCTGCCCGAGAAGTACTTCCAAGAATTCCGGAATGGATTGGCGGGTCGCTGGTTGTTGAGTGCTGGGTGCCACCCATCGCTGTCCTAGGCGTTGACATGCCTCTGAACAAGCTAACTGAGAGTAAAGTTAAGCTAGCGGATCATAATTGCTCCGCCAGAGCTACGACAGAGTACAGGTACTCTGGTACTGGTACTGGAGGATAGGCTACAGAAGACCCAGCAGCAGCAGGCGAGGATGGAGGGGCAGCAGAAGCTATCGTGTAACCAGCAACGCAGTCGAGCTCAGGTCCATGATCATGATCAAGTTGGGTCTGTTGATGATGTGCGGGTATTTCCACTTGCTCGAGAACCTTGTCTGGCAAAAGTAGCAGAAAGGATTCAGAAGATAACGATAGATTTGTGGGCTTCGAATAGGTATAAATGCATGTTCAAAGTTGTCATTTATAATATATAAATATTTGGAATACAATACAAAGATATAAGGCTTTGGACCAAGGAAACTATGATCTATATAAAGATTGCGAAAACATCTCAGAAAATGTTTCCCACTTCTTTCTTTAAAGAGTTTATTACTGAGACCTTCATTAAAAGATTCTTAAAATATAATTTATCCAGCTTTTTTGATGCCCAAGACTGCTATAGAGCTACATTCATGTTATCTATGTAACAGAATAAGATAGATAGAATGAAGGATGATAGAATTAAGTAAATATTCTTGGATGCTGTTGCATTTTTCAGTTACTGCTTAACCAGTATTCCTCATTGGTGGTGTACTAAAATTAGTTTAGTGGAAGGTGTACTTATTATTGTACATATTCACATATTTAAATATTTTTTTATTAAACTAAACTATCAAAGTCTTGTTAAAATCTTGCCAAAGATACTAGCTGCCATACAAAAATTAGCTGGGGTCTCTTTTAAAATGGAACCTATCGGGTTGATGCCTTAGTTGAAAGAATCAATAGACTATCGATGGAACCCTGCTAGCTATCGAGGGGCCAACTTAAGTTTTAATCATTAAAGCGTATTCTAGAGTATTCAATGGTTCGGTGCTGCTCTGTCAACGCCCTCCCCCTTGGGGTGTCGTTGGTTGTTTTGTTGTTTTGTTGCCTTGCGGTTGGCAGTTGTGCATCTTTGTGGCTTGTATCTGTCAGCAATAGCTGCAATAGCTGGTACCATATAATCAAAAGCGCAACCCAAAAACACTGAAAATAAATGCCAGAAAATAACAAATGGCGCGGCCCCACAGTGCAGTGGAAAAGGAAAGGCACACTGGGGCAGAGAGGGGGGGGCGTATAGCGCAACAAATGGGTATCTTTCGGTTGTATCAAATCAACAGTCTAAGAATGAAAGTTACTGTTACTACTGTGACTGCTGTTGCTTCTGTTGTGGGGAGTACGAGTACTTGAACAATACAAAACTGAGATGGCTAGAGGCCCCCATCAGCGCCCCT